TTAAGACGTTCAAACAGAAGATAGATACCTCTGGCAAGGAATCAAGTTGCCGCATAGACCACACGCAGGACTTGTGGTAATAACAGAACACGCTCTGGTAATGCTACGCACGGTCGTCCAACGCTGTTCCGGAGTGACGGGCGCCCAATTACATTTACTGTCGGCCAAGTCCCTGGGACAGGCACGCAAACCCTCGCACCAGCGAGTCATCGATATCGGAGAGTTATCGTGAACCAGTGCTAGAAAAACAAAGACACCCGAGCGTAACCTGTAGCACCGTTGAGCAAAGTGCCGTTAACGAACACCTAGAAAGGCCGGAACGGCACACGATGGGGTGGGTGGCCAGCACCACGCATGGCCGTCTTTGTCTCCCGAGTGGCGATGTTTACTACACACCGCACCAATGCACTCATTTGAGGCTGCTGTAGCACAGCGCGGTAACTGTTGTAACACAGTGTGGTAACTGTTGTAACACAGCGTGGTAACTGTTGTAACACAGCGCGGTAACTGTTGTAACACAACGCGGTAACTGTTGTAACACAGCGTGGTAACTGTTGTAACACAGCGTGGTAACTGTTGTAACACAGCGCGGTAACTGTTGTAACACAGCGCGGTAACTGTTGTAACACAGCGTGGTAACTGTTGTAACACAGCGTGGTAACTGTTGTAACACAGGGCAGTAACTGTTATAACACAGCGCAGTAACTGTTGTAACACAGCGCGGTAACTGTTGTAACACAGCGCGGTAACTGTTGCAACACAGCGCAGTAACTGTTGTAACAGCGCGGTAACTGTTGTAACACAGCGTGGTAACTGTTGCAACACAGCGTGGTAACTGTTGTAACACAGTGTGGTAACTGTTGTAACACAGCGTGGTAACTGTTGTAACACAGCGTGGTAACTGTTGCAACACAGCGTGGTAACTGTTGTAACACAGAGTGGTAACTGCTGTAACACAGAGTGGTAACTGTTGTAACACAGCGTGGTAACTGTTGTAACACAGCGTGGTAACTGTTGTAACACAGTGCGGTAACTGCTGTAACACAGAGTGGTAACTGCTGTAACACAGAGTGGTAACTGCTGTAACACAGAGTGGTAACTGTTGTAACACAGCGTGGTAACTGTTGTAACACAGCGCAGTAACTGTTGTAACACAGAGTGGCAACTGTTGTAACAGCGCGGTAACTGTTGTAACACAGCGTGGTAACTGTTGTAACACAGCGCGGTAACTGTTGTAACACAGCGCGGTAACTGTTGTAACACAGCGCGGTAACTGTTGTAACACAGCACGGTAACTGTTGTAACACAGTGCGGTAACTGTTGTAACACAGCGCGGTAACTGTTGTAACACAGCGTGGTAACTGCTGTAACACAGCGTGGTAACTGTTGTAACACAGCGTGGTAACTGTTGTAACACAGCATGGTAACTGTTGTAACACAGCGCGGTAACTGTTGTAACACAGTGCGGTAACTGTTGTAACACAGCACGGTAACTGTTGTAACACAGCGCGGTAACTGTTGTAACACAGCGTGGTAACTGTTGTAACACAGTGCGGTAACTGTTGTAACACAGCGTGGTAACTGTTGTAACACAGCGTGGTAACTGTTGTAACACAGCGTGGTAACTGTTGTAACACAGAGTGGTAACTGTTGTAACACAGTAAGGTAACTGTTGTAACACAACGTGGTAACTGTTTTAACACAGCATGGTAACTGTTGTAGCATAGCGTGGTAACTGTTGTAACACAGCGTGGTAACTGTTGTAACACAGCGTGGTAACTGTTGTAACACAGCGTGGTAACTGTTGTAACACAGCGTGGTAACTGTTGTAACACAGCGTGGTAACTGTTGTAACACAGCGTGGTAACTGTTGTAACACAGAGTGGTAACTGTTGTAACACAGCGTGGTAACTGTTGTAACACAGCGTGGTAACTGTTGTAACACAGCGTGGTAACTGTTGTAACACAGCGTGGTAACTGCTACGCTACCGCTCCCCACTGAGTTACGTAACCCAGCGCTACGGACACGCACGCATGCAGCGGACACCGCTAATGCGCTGACGCTCCCAAGCTTAGCTGGAAAGCGTTGAACGGGCCTTGGGACTCGGTTGACACTTGCCCCGGTAAATAAAGAACGCTGTTGTTGGTATTATGATTGTTATTAATCGCGGAACCTCGGGTAAACGCCACGAGAGGAGTGGCAAAACCGACGCCAGCAAAGGAAAAGAGTGCCCGGTGGTGGCTCCGAGGGAGAACAACGTGGGGTGGGGGGAATTATCCACCACGCCGCACGCTCATCTCGAGGTACTCCTCAATTCCTCGCCAGATTTTAATTCGGATAAACGCGTGCTCTCGAGACGTGGCGCTTTGGCTTTATATATTTTTATTAATTCGGGTTGTTGTTCCCCAATAACAATCGCTCTCTTATTCGGCCGGGGGGGGGGGTGGGACGTGGACGGTCAAACACGATCCGCCGATCGGGACCGTGACAGTGCCAGACACGTGTTGTGTGTGTGTGCGTGTGTGTGTAGGTGTGTGGGTGTGTGTGGGTGTGTGTGTAGGTGTGTGTGTGTAGGTGTGTGTTTGTGTGTGGGTGTGTGTGTGTGTGGGTGTGTGTGTAGGTGTGTGGGTGTGTGTGGGTGGGTGTAGGTGTGTGTCTGTGAGGAGCGGTGGTGTAGCGGTTAGCGCGTTGCGCTAACCGCTACACCACCGCTCACGGCCAACACCGGTGACGATTATCTGAACCGTCCCGGGCCTCCCCTAGGTCGACTCAGCCTGAAATGAGTACCTGGTGCGGTGTGTAAACATCGTCACTAGGGAGACAAAGGCGGTCGGGCGTGGTGCTGGCCACCCACCCCCTCGTGTACCGTTTCGGACTTGATAGGTGCTCGCTAACAGCACTTGCCCCCTACAGTCTGTTAAGGCTATATGGGGATCTTTATCTTTGTCTGTGCAGTTGATTGGCACGCTGCGCTACTAACACGGCCACCCGAATTCGATTCCCGCTCAGGGACAAAAAACGATGACGATTATCTGAACCGGGTCCTGGGTCTCCACTAGGTCGACTCAACCTCAAACGAGTAAGCAGGTGCAGTGCGTCACCACCGCCACTCGGGAGACAAAGGCGGCCGGGTGTGGTTCCGGCCAGACCACCCGTCTTGTGCCGTGTCGGCCTTTCTTTGCTTACAGCACTGGTTGCAAGTCTGACAAAGGCTACACGGGGGAATCTTTGTCTGTGTGTGTGTGTGTATATGGCCTCAAGGTGCACATGTCCTGGCACAAGCGTCGTGGTGACGTCACCGCCACTTAGTGGCCAATGGCGGTTGTTGTTGTTGTTGTCGTATACATGTGGGGGAGCGGCAGCGGAGTGGTCAGTGCACTGCGCTAGCGTCCTGGCAACCCGAATTCGATTCCCGCTCCCAACCAACACTGATGGCAAGTGCTAACAGAACCGCTGCGGTGGGGAGAGACAAAGGGGGGCCGGACGTGGTGCTCTCCACACCGCCCCCCGCAGCGCGTTGCTCGCGAAAAAGCACTCGCCCCAGCGGTCTGCGGAAGGCTACACGGTGGGGGGGGGGGGGGGGACCTCTGTCTGTGTCTCGTCACGTCGGTGAGGAACCACTCGCGAAGACAGAAGAGAGCTCCCGCTCGACGGAGGTGTTCACTCGAATCGGGTTCACGGCAACTTGACCCGGGCCTCTGAACCCTTGACGAAGCGCACGAGAACATCAGCGCATCGTCGCGCGCGTGCGCCATTTGTACTCGCGCGCGTCCCCTGCTCGAATGCCACATTACCACGGTAGAGAGACAAAGACACGCGGGAAGGAGAGAGAGAGAGAGAGAGGGGGAAGCACACGCAGACTCCGTGCACAAAGGCACCCGCGTAGGGAGTTGAACCCAGAGCCTCGTCCCTTTGACGCACGAGCATTGCCGCTGCGCTGCCAATCTTGCCTCCCCACCGGTCACGTGGCATCACCAAACGTGGCGGCAGCGGCAGCAGCAGCAGCAGCAGCAGCAAATAACGCGCTCCAAGCACGGTTCGTTACAACGCATCTCTCCCCCGTGCCCCTCCCCACCGCTCACCCCAACTCACAAATGGAACCCAGATGACCGTTTATTCGCCGCACATCTGTTCATCCGCATGGCCGCAGTCGCTGCGGACGCGGCAATGGCACGGGCGCCGGGGGCTCGCGGAGCCTTGAGCGGGGACCTCGGTGGTCGCGGCCGGCCCAGGTTTCGCGAGCTGCGAGCGCGGCCGCCCCCCCCCCCCCCACCCCCACCCGACGGGCCGGGCAAGCCGCCACGCGTCGTCCGCTTCGCCGGGCGGGCGAGCATTGACGGCCTACGCGCCGCGATCCGGCGAGGGTTAGCGGCCTTCCCCGAGGACGTCCAGGAGGAGCCCGTACCCCTCGCTCGCCAGGGGATGGCGGTACAGCGGGCAGCGTGGTCTCCACCTGCTCCGTCCGTAGGGGATTGAGGTTGTTTCCACCCCCGCCCCCCACCCCCCACATCTTCGAGTGCGTGCGGTTTATTTCCTCCGGGGTGCTCCGGTTTCCTCCGGCGTGCAAAACACACTCATTCACTGGCCGACGACGACACCCTCGTATATAGAGGACCGCAGAACTTGGGCGGTCGTTGCCTTCCCGCGCGTCTGTGGTTCCTCCTCGCCCCTTCGAGTCGCTCGCTCTCTCCCTCGACGAGATCGGTAAGCGTATAACCGCTCGGCGCGTCGTAAATTGACGCCGTTGTTCGAAACGGGCAGGCCCGCTGCGTGCCGGTGCCACGGGTCCAAATAAATAAATAGAAAGCCCGATAAACAAATAAATAAATCGTCGCTTCTGGATCGTGTGTCGCAACTCTCAAAACTGACTTTTGGGTTCGGGCCACGTTGTGCCATCTCACGAAATGATCCGATGAGTCATGCGGAGAAATCGTTCCAACGCGGGAAGTCGTTCGTCAACTGGCGGACGAGTGGGGAAAAATGCATCGCGGCCGCAAACCTTCAGGCAGGCGAGGAAGAAGTCGCCGGCAAAGCCGGAGAGCTGAGCGGCGGCGAGGAGCTCCGTGAGGCACGTCAGCTGCCACGCCTCCTCGTCCAGCGCGCCACACGCAGCCTCATCCTCGTCGTCCGCCCTGTGGGCACAAGCAGCCGCGCCGCCGCTCAGCGACAATCCGCGGGCACACACCCCCCCCGCGCGCTTATCCCGCGGCCTCGCCATCCGCATCCCGGATCGATTGGCGAGGAATCCTCCCATCCGGAGTCTGCGCGTAAAACATTGCCCCACAGAGCATGCAGGGCCAGCCAGGTGGCTCAGTGGGTAGAGCGAGCGGCTCGCAAATCGAAAGTTCAATTCCTGGTTTTCGGGGGGGGGGGGGGGGTTCACTCTCGGTTGTGGGTGGGTTGGTTGGAAGCCGCCCATCATCCTTCCAGTTGCTGGTTGCCCATCATCCATCTGGAATCGATCAAATAAGTACCACTTTTTCAATAAGTCGACAGTTGTTGTCCGATGGGCAGAATCACCCGTGCCATAGGAATGTGGAATTTCCACCACTGGCTCAGCAGGGCTTCAAGAGGCGATGAGCGCCAACGCATCAATGCCCGCGTGAGATGCGGTCCCGTTGAACGCGTCGCGACGTAATCAATAACGTCAACTAGCACGGCACCGCTCTTGTGGAGAGACGGGGAGGGGACGACTCAGAAACCACACACGAGCGGGGAAGGCGGCGGCGGTGGCAGCGGCGGCAGCAGCAGCAGCAGCCACGCGTGAAGCCGGCACAAACTATTTCCCAAGCTCTGCGGTCCCCTATGTAATTGCGGCATTATCGGCCACATGTGGGAGGAAACCGGTTCGCCGGGAGAAAGCCCGCGCACGCACGAGGAGGGGCGTGGCGGCGACGCCGCTCCACAGCTACGCACGCACCGCGTTGTACCGCACCCTCGGTTCCTCCCCCCGCCCCCCCCCCCCCCCCCGGGCTCACCCGATCGGCGGGCGAATCCGGGCGACGGCTCCTCCGTGGGCACCGGGGGCAAAGTGCAGCGAGCGCGGCATCGTCGTCGGCATCGTCGTCGGCATCGTCGTCGGCATCGTCGTCGGCATCGTCGTGGTCGGCATCGTGGTCGGCATCGGGCGAGTGGGCAGCCCCGCCAGCCCGCCCACGGCACGCACCGCCCGCTCCCGCTCGGCGTGCTCCACAAACCACAGCAGCGTCTCCTGGCACGGAGACCTGGCCAACAACAAAGACAAAGGTTCCCCAACCCACCCCGTGGAGACTTAACAGACTGTAGGGGCAAGTGCTGTTAGCGAGCAGCAGCGCCTATGGCGGCCGGCACGGCACACGAGGGGGTGGGTGGCCAGCACCACGCCCGGCCGCCTTTGTCTCCCCAGTGGCGATGTTTACTACACACCGCACCAGGTACTCATTTGAGGCTGAGTAGACCTAGGAGGGGCCTAGAACTGGTTCAGAAACTCATCACCGGTGTTCGCCGTGAGCGGGAACTGAACTCGGGTCGCCGGGTTCGTAAGCGCTCCCCACGACACACACACACGCACACACGCAGTGAAGTATGGGTGTGCGGTGCATGCAGCAAAGGATAAAAACATGACACATTCGTCAAGAACAAAGCATATGAAGAAGAAAACATTATATATATACTGAAGTAACACCAGAAATGCATAACAGAGAATTTTCTTTTGAGCAAAGAAGAAGAACTTTTCCAGCATTGCGATGTTTGGCCGATACCGGCTACCTAAACATTTCGGTGTGGGTTTCTGTAGCCTATGCAAAAGGTCCGCGGGGGCCGGGAATGGCTCAACGCCGAGATTTTTTCCGTGAGCCCCCCACCACCCAACGCGACGCTCGCACGTCCGACAAGGGCGATTACACCCAGCGGTGCGCGCAGACGCGCCGAGCCAACGCGCCGACCGACGGAAGCTCGGAAACTGAGACGGCGACAAATCCACGTTCAGTCCCCGCTTGGGCGACTCGCTCGGTCACCCCCCACCCCACCCCCCCCCCCACCCTCCCGAGTCGGCGGCCCGTCGGACATCCTCGGAGAGCCGTCCGGGAACGGGTTCGCCGTGGCACGGCGACGCTGCAGCGCCCGTTGTACAAAATCTCTGCGGCACGTTGTCACCGCGACGGGGCGCTGCAAGGTCCGGAGAGCGTCGTGACGAGGCCGCCCTCCTGACGCGCAAAGGCGCTTGCCGCGAATGAGCCGCAATACCACGGCCGATCTCGTCAAGGAGCGCAAACCATCGTCGAGCAAGCTCCGGTCGTCATCCTCGCAGCAGCAGCGGCAGCAGCACCGGCGGCGATGGCGGCGGCTTTTGGTTCGGCCGTCGAATAAAGACGGTGGTCACCGCATCGTCGCGCGGCGCTTTCGGATGCGCTTCCGCGGCCGTCTGGAACGCTCTTCCTTCCCGATGTTAGGAAGCCACTGGAGCTGTGCACTTCATCATCTAGACTGACAAACTTAACTTCTTAAGAACTGCTCGTTGTCATGTTTCGTTTGTTGTCCTTCCCCCGCCCCTCCGATTAGCAAGGTGCACAAGAAGTTCAGCGTAGATACAATTCAGTCGCGAGAAGTCTCGAGCCATCACTGGTGAGCAGCAGCAGCAGCTGGAGCTGAAGCTTCATCGATCAGAATCTGATCCATACATGGGCCATGTATAAGCAACACTAATATTAACAGTGTAAACGGGATAATTTTTACACATTGTCTTGAGACCAATATAGTTCATCATAAAGTTTTTCGTGGGTTAGATCGCAAGGTGTGTCACGTGACAATTAGTTGCAACTTCAGCGCCACCGCCCTTGTGTTGGGGCATAAACCCACGGCGCATTTACGATTTGAGTTAACGGCGTCTCTCGCTGGCGATTACAACCGGCTTCATCAGGCGATCGCCGAAACTGTGAAGCAGTCTCCCCGTTTTGTTCGGTGGCGGAGAGGTTAATGATGCGGATTTTTTGGCATAACACTACCACCATGTGGCCGAACCTAAAAACAAATTATGGATCACCAGTTACACTGTGCGCCGTGAAAGACCCAACGCAGCAGATGCCTCGCCTTCCGTCGTCCACGAGGCTCACGGTCCAGCCTAAATCGAGTCCACTGCACAAACCACAGCAGTAGATGCGGATGACACCTGATGCACAAATGGAAAATTCACAATGCTCCATTTAGTGGTGCGATTTTGGTCATCCAGAACAGACCGCACAACGTATGAGGACGCAATGCCCGATCCACAAATACTGCTGCTCCTGACGCGGATATCCGGCTTGATGTTAACTACCTCGCCTGGTATGCAGGAGGTCGTGGGATCAATCCCGACGCTGACGCCTGCTGTATATTTGGAGTCTGCGTGTCTCTCTCCCCCGTGGTCGCGTGGATTTTTCTCCGGGTCCTCCGGTTTTGCCCTCCACATGAAGAATCAATACGCGTTCAGAGTATTTGCCTGCGATATAAATTCCACACGATAAGTCACTTCTCACTGGGCTACCATTTGTGACCAGGTCGCTTCTGAAAAAGAGCAATATAAAGCTCAGTGGGCCTCACCTGGTAAAAACAAAAATAGTTTCTTAATCGTTTAGAGTGTGACATTTTTAATTATTGCTCTGCATCTGCATCATCAAGACGACTGCTGGGGGAGGAGAATCCGGGGGAAACCCTCGCAGAGCAGCGGGAAAGAGAGAAAACACACAAACTCCACACAGCGCGGCGTTCTGCGACCGCCGCCCATCGGTTCCTGGGAACGTTCAGTTCCTCGTCGACGCTCCCAAGCACGCGCAGGGCGAAACGTCGGACATCGTGCCGAACATCGCGAACCGAGGATCGGGAGCGCCAAGTCCGCCCCCTCCCCCCCCAACGCTCGGCTTGCGTCATCATCCCTCCAACAATGCGGGGCCGCGTCGGCGGTCGATGGCGGAGCGACGACGAAGAGCGGGGAGCGATCGGCGGGAGCCTCGGGGAAGGGCGGTCGGTGGCGTTGCGGTAGCGGTGGGGTTGCGGTAGCGGTGGGGTTGCGGTAGCGGTGGGGTTGCGGTAGCGGTGGGGTTGCGGTAGCGGTGGCGGTCAGCGCCACGCCCGCGCTGAGAACCCGGCGGCACGGGTTCCATTCCCGCTCGCGAGTCCAACACCGGCGACGATTAACGGAGGCGGTCCCGGGCCTTCCCTGGCGCGGTGTGTAGTGAACATCGCCACCGGGGGGACAAAGGCGGCCGGGCGTGGCGTTGGCCGTCCACCTCCCCACGCTGCGCCGTGCCGGTCTTCGTAGGTGCTGCTCGCTAACGGCACTTGCCCCCAAGACTCTGTTAAGGCTACACGGGGGGGGGGGGGGGATCTTTTGTCTTTGGGGTGGTGGGTGTGGGGGCATTAGAGGGGCGATGGGGGAAAAGAGACCTCCAACTCACCGCATCCGTTACAGCACTTCAAAGGGCGCTGGAAATTAGCAGCGGTTATCAAAGCGTGGTGCACGCGGTGCAGCGAGCGGGCGCTATTAATCGCCACCAGCTGTCGCTCCGGGGGACGGGTCTCTTCCCCGAGCTTGCGAGGCGCACGCGCAACCAGAAAATAAAATCATTAAAGAGGCGGAAAGAGACGACGCTTAAAAGAGAACGGCCGATTTGATCCGGGGGAGGGGGGGGGGGTGGAGGTGTCACAATTTCACTTTTTGTTGTTGTTGTTGATGGGAGGACCCCCCGGAGACACTAGACACAAGTGGAACGTTTCACCCCACGCTTCTGCCGCCGCTGATGATTTTGATGATGAAGTGCTGCTGATGATGATCATGTACGGCGATCCCTCGCCAACCGCAGGGAGTTAGGTACCTGAAAATCCCGATGGTCGGCACAACCGTGGTCGGCAAGGCCAGAGGCTTACAGCAGATCGAGGCTCTCCGGCGGACTGAGCAGTATTAGTCACACTACTCCCGAAGCTATCGCATGGCTTACAGAATTTCAACTTGGATGTGTGATTTGCACATACTTGCCATACGCTGGAGACAGAGAGAGAGGAAGGAGTTAGGTTCCGGAAAGCCGCTGTGGTTGTCAAGACGAGAGGCTTACGGGAGATGGGGGGGTTAGGTTTCACGGCCATGGTAAACGCTCTCATCGAAGGTGAATTAAGCACCCTACGCGTTCGGTAAACACGAGAAATATGTACGGTCCTGTATAACATGTATGAACAAATATACCTTTAGGGGTAAGAGTGAACCAACATACGTTTAATTACCTTCGATATTGATAGTAAAGTGCAGATAACGATGACAGTGACAATGCTGACGGCGATGTCAGGTGAAAAGGGGGGGGGTTGGTTATACAGTGAGGAAAAAAAGTATTTGATCCCCTGCTGATTTTGTACATTTGCCCACTGACAAAGAAATGATCAGTCTATAATTTTAATGGTAGGTTTATTTGAACAGTGAGAGACAGAATAACAAAAAAAATCCAGAAAAACACATGTCAAAAATGTTATAAATTGATTTGCATTTTAATGAGGGAAATAAGTATTTGACCCCCTCTCAATCAGAAAGATTTCTGGCTCCCAAGTGTATTTTATACAGGTAACGAGCTGAGATTAGAAGCACACTCTTAAAGGGAGTGCTCCTAATCTCAGCTTGTTACCTTTATAAAAGACACTTGTCCACAGAAGCAATCAATCAATCAGATTCCAAACTCTCCACCATGGCCAAGACCAAAGAGCTCTCCAAGGATGTCAGGGACAAGATTGTAGACCTACACAAGGCTGGAATGGGCTACAAGACCATTGCCAAGCAGCTTGATGAGAAGGTGACAACTGTTGGTGCGATTATTCGCAAATGGAAGAAACACAAAAGAACTGTCAATCTCTATTTAAAGCTTTCGTGACTGCAAGGATTCATCTTCTTTGGTTTTTTCGGTAAAGTCACGTAGAATGAGAATAAAATAATAAATTAATAAAATAAAATAACAATAAAATTCTCACAATAAAATTCTCACGCCGAAACGTCGTGAGAATTTTATTGTGTTATTTTATTTTATTAATGTATTATTTTATTCTCATTCTACGTGACTTTACCGAAAGAACCAAAGAAGAACTGTCAATCTCCCTTGGCCTGGGGCTCCATGCAAGATCTCACCTCGTGGAGTTGCAATGATCATGAGAACGGTGAGAAATCAGCCCAGAACTACACGGGAGGATCTTGTCAATGATCTCAAGGCAGCTGGGACCATAGTCACCAAGAAAACAATTGGTAACACACTACGCCGTGAAGGACTGAAATCCTGCAGCGCCCGCAAGGTCCCCCTGCTCAAGAAAGCACATATACATGCCCGTCTGAAGTTTGCCAATGAACATCTGAATGATTGTGGTCAGATGAGACCAAAATGGAGCTCTTAGGCATCAACTGGGAGGAGGAGGAATGCTGCCTATGACCCCAAGAACACCATCCCCACCGTCAAACATGGAGGTGGAAACATTATGCTTTGGGGGTGTTTTTCTGCTAAGGGGACAGAACAACTTCACCGCATCAAAGGAACGATGGACGGGGCCATGTACCGTCAAATCTTGGGTGAGAACCTCCTTCCCTCAGCCAGGGCATTGAAAATGGGTCGTGGATGGGTATTCCAACATGACAATGACCCAAAACACACGGCCAAGGCAACAAAGGAGTGGCTCAAGAAGAAGCACATTAAGGTCCTGGAGTGGCCTAGCCAGTCTCCAGACCTTAATCCCACAGAAAATCTGTGGAGGGAGCTGAAGGTTCGAGTTGTCAAACGTCAGCCTCAAAACCTTAATGCCTTGGAGAAGATCTGCAAAGAGGAGTGGGACAAAATCCCTCCTGAGATGTGTGCAAACCTGGTGGCCAACCACAAGAAACGTCTGACCTCTGTGATTGCCAACAAGGGTTTTGCCACCAAGTACTAAGTCATGTTTTGCAGAGGGGAGGGTGCTGGGGGATGGAGGGGAGGGTGATGGAGCAATGCACCAAACCCACACGTACTCTTAGACTGTACACAACACGGAATCCCGTGCATACATGAAGCGCCCTTTGGCTTATAGTGGATTCGGTGCAATTTTGAAATATTGCGCTATTATTTTTGTTGCATTACCGAAACCGAAAAAAAGAAGACTCCTCCTCTCATTGTTGCTTGCAGACCCCTAAGCCGGCCGGAGACTTTTCAGCAGCGGGACCCGGGGCATCCCCCCCCCCCCCCCCCCGCCGAATCAGTCCGGCCAACCGGGGTGGAACCGCGGTGGTCGTAGCAGTCGTCACAACAACAACAACAAACAAACAAACAACAACAAACAGCTGCAGCTGACCGCAGGTGGGAGACTCCGCGCTTGGCGAAGCAGCAGAGGAGGAAGAGCGGCTGCAGCACGGACTCGACGGCGCTCAGCATCACCGCCGGGGGAGGCTCGGAGCCGCACGCCACGACCACCTGCAGCAGGGGAGGCACGTGCACGATGACACCCGCGCCCCGCCCCCCCCCACCCCCCCCCGCGAAGCCTCAGCACGCTGCTGCGGGTGAGCGCCGTTGGCTGGCAGCGCCAGTGAAGGCCGGCACGGCACGCGACGGGGTGGCCGGCACGGCACGCGACGGGGTGGCCGGCACGGCACGCGACAGGGTGGCCGGCACGGCACGCGACAGGGTGGCCGGCACGGCACGCGACGGGGTGGGTGGCCGGCACGGCACGCGACGGGGTGGCCGGCACGGCACGCGACGGGGTGGCCGGCACGGCACGCGACGGGGTGGCCGGCACCCGCGCCCCGGCCGCCTGTCTGCCCGGCGACGATGTTTTTTGAACGCGCCACACCGGGAACTCATTTGAGGCCGAGTCGACTTAGGGGAGGCCTAGGACTGATTTAGATATGGGCCACTGATGTTTTGGCTGCGAGCGGGAATCGAATTCGGGTCACCGGGTTCGTAGCGCTCTGAGCGACTGGCTCCCCAGACACACGCACACACAAAGATCCCCCGTATAGCCTAAACAGACTGTTGGGGCAAGTGCCGTTAGCGAGTAGCAACATCTATGAAGACTGGCACTGCACGCGGGCGAGGGGGTGGGTGGGTGGCCAGCACCCGCGTCCGGCTGCCTTTGTCTGCCCAGTGATGATGTTGTGAGCGGGAATCGAATTCGGGTCACCGGGTTTGTAGCGCACTGTGCGGCTGGCTCCCCATGCCCAAAACAAAGATCCCCTGTAAACCCTTAACAGACTGTTGGGGCAAGTGCTGTTAGCGAGCAGCACCTGTGAAGGCCGGCACGGCACACGAGGAGGTTGGTGGGCCAGCCCCACGCCCGGTCGCATTTGTCTCCCCAGTGGCGATGTTCACACACCGCACCAGGTGCTCGTTTCAGGCTGAGTCGACCTAGGGGAGGCCCAGGACCGGTTCAAGTAATCGTCACTGGTGTTGGCCATGAGCGGGAATCGAACTCGGGTCGCCAGGTTCATAGCGCAGCGCGCCAACCGCTACACTACAGCTCCTCCCCGTGCACACACACACAGTGACACACACATCGACACACAAAGTGACACACATACACACACACACTAGGACACACAAAGACAAACATCCCCTGTGTAGCCAAAATATACCGTTGGGGGCGATCTTGTTGCTGTGTGTAATCGCAATTCAGAGTAATCTGCAGGTCATATTTCGGCATCGGGATGTTAGTCTAATACCCGTTACATTGTGTGTTTAGCGATGCGAGGAAAGCCAAGAAATCTGTAGCAAACTCACCCATGCAGAACGGGGGGGGGGGGGGGGGGGGGGGGGGAAACGCACAATGCTAAAGAGAGGCGCCTGCATCAGGACTCAAACCCAGGCCTTTCTTGCCACGAGGCGGCACCGCGCTCACAAAAAACGGCCAGCGCTCGTGTCCAATGACGTCGCAGGATCTCTCACGACCGCCGGCAGCATTCGTACGGCGAGTAAACCGCACCACCACCGCAACCACCACCACCGCAGTAGCAGTAGCAGCAGCATCAACCGGGGCGGCCTGCCAGATTCGCACAGCGCCGCGTCACCACCCCGGGGCCGTAAAGATGTTCTCTGATGACCTCTCCAGGAGGGGGCGGCTGCCCCCCCCCCACCCTCTACCGGTCGCCGCACGAATCCGAGAGTGGAGAAAATCGAATCAACATTTTGGCTGCGGGTCCGTCGAGAGCTCGCGGGCCGAAAAACAGAGCGACGTTATTTTCCTCCAACGCCCGAAACCGGCGCGTGCGTTCGATTCGGCGGGTGGTGGAAACGATCGCGCAAGCTGTCACCAACCAAGGTCTTAACAAGGGAATAAAACATATATAGCTTGTTTTTTTTTTAATCAAAACCATTCATCCAAGCAAACCGAGGTCTTTGTAAAAAAAACTACATTTACAACATTGCATGTCAGACTCGCTGGAGACTCTAAGCACGGGTCTAGCCAAATACGTGAAATGGTCGGAGATGTGGACATCTGCACTAAATGATAGCTACACCCCCGCTACAGATGCCAACGCCGGGTGCGGGCGGCTCACGGATACGCGACGGCCGGGCTCGCAGAAATTCGCAAAAAAGGAATATGTGAGACTGAAAATTGTGGCGTTGAAAGACCCAAGTCACAAGTGGGGATCTGGCGAGGGGATCGGCTGTCCCCGGCGGTCTGCTCTCCCATTCCTCTCACTGCCACTACAGTACAGGGAGACTCCTCTACCTACGAACGAGTTTGGGTTGCAGAGGTCTGATCCTCTACCTACGAACGAGTTAGGGTTGCAGAGGTCTGATCGTAAATCGATTTGTTCGCAAGTCGAAATTTACTCCCGTCAATTTCAAACGTGTTGTACGGCGCGTGCCCTAATCAAGGGGAATGGCTTTAAAAGTTGTATAATCTCCTGTAGATGTAGAGATGCCGCTAGATCTTTGTGATCTGCAGATGTAGATGTCACTGGTTGTTCATGTTCTGCAGATGTAGATGCCACTGGTTCTTCACATTCTGCAGATGTAGATGCCACTGGTTGTTGATGTTCTGCAGATGTAGATGCCACTGGTTCTTCACGTTCTGCAGATGCCACTGATTCTTCATTATCTGCAGATGTAGATGCCACTGATTCTTCACGGTCTGCAGATGCAGATGCCACTGGTTCTTCATGTTCTGCAGATGTAGATGCCGCTGGTTCTTCGTGATCTGCAGATGTAGATGCCACTGGTTCTTGATGATCTGCAGATGTAGATGCCACTGGTTCTTCACATTCTGGAGATGTAGATGCCACTGGTTATTGATGTTCTGCAGATGTAGATGCCACTGGTTCTTCACGTTCTGCAGATGTAGATGCCACTGGTTCTTCATGTGGTGCAGATGTAGATGCCACTGATTCTTCATGTTCTGCAGATGTAGATGCCACTGATTCTTCACGTTCTGCAGATGTAGATGCCACTGATTCTTCACGTTCTGCAGATGTAGATGCCACTGGTTCTTCATGTTCTGCAGATGGAGATGCCACTGGTTCTTCGTGATCTGCAGATGTGGACGCCACTGGTTCTTCATGTTCTGCAGATGGAGATGCCACTGGTTCTTCACGTTCTGCAGATGTAGATGCCACTGATTCTTCACGTTCTGCAGATGTAGATGCCTCTGATTCTTCACGTTCTGCAGATGTAGATGCCACTGGTTCATCATGTTCTGCAGATGTAGATGCCACTGGTTCTTCATGTTCTGCAGATGTAGATGCCACTGGTTCTTCGTGATCTGCAGATGTAAATGCCACTGGTTCTTGATGTTCTACAGATGTAGATGCCACTGGTTCTTCACGTTCTGGAGATGTAGATGCCACTGGTTGTTGATGTTCTGCAGATGTAGATGCCACTGGTTCTTCACGTTCTGCAGATGTAGATGCCACTGATTCTTCATTATCTGCAGATGTAGATGCCACTGATTCTTCACGGTCTGCAGATGCAGATGCCACTGGTTGTTCATGTTCTGCAGATGTAGATGTCACTGGTTCTTCATGTTCTGCAGATGTAGATGCCGCTGGTTCTTCGTGATATGCAGATGTAGATGCCACTGGTTCTTGATGATCTGCAGATGTAGATGCCACTGGTTCTTCACATTCTGGAGATGTAGATGCCACTGGTTATTGATGTTCTGCAGATGTAGATGCCACTGGTTCTTCACGTTCTGCAGATGTAGATGCCACTGGTTCTTCATGTGGTGCAGATGTAGATGCCACTGATTCTTCATGTTCTGCAGATGTAGATGCCACTGATTCTTCACGTTCTGCAGATGTAGATGCCACTGATTCTTCACGTTCTGCAGATGTAAATGCCACTGGTTCTTGATGTTCTACAGATGTAGATGCCACTGGTTCTTCACGTTCTGGAGATGTAGATGCCACTGGTTGTTGATGTTCTGCAGATGTAGATGCCACTGGTTCTTCACGTTCTGCAGATGTAGATGCCACTGATTCTTCATTATCTGCAGATGTAGATGCCACTGATTCTTCACGGTCTGCAGATGCAGATGCCACTGGTTGTTCATGTTCTGCAGATGTAGATGTCACTGGTTCTTCATGTTCTGCAGATGTAGATGCCGCTGGTTCTTCGTGATCTGCAGATGTAGATGCCACTGGTTCTTGATGATCTGCAGATGTAGATGCCACTGGTTCTTCACATTCTGGAGATGTAGATGCCACTGGTTATTGATGTTCTGCAGATGTAGATGCCACTGGTTCTTCACGTTCTGCAGATGTAGATGCCACTGGTTCTTCATGTGGTGCAGATGTAGATGCCACTGATTCTTCATGTTCTGCAGATGTAGATGCCACTGATTCTTCACGTTCTGCAGATGTAGATGCCACTGATTCTTCACGTTCTGCAGATGTAGATGCCACTGGTTCTTCATGTTCTGCAGATGGAGATGCCACTGGTTCTTCGTGATCTGCAGATGTAGACGCCACTGGTTCTTCGTGATCTGCAGACGTAGACGCCAAAGGTTGTTCATGTTCTGCAGATGTAGATGCCACTGGTTCTTCACGTTCTGCAGATGTAGATGCCACTGATTCTTCACGTTCTGCAGATGTAGATGCCTCTGATTCTTCACGTTCTGCAGATGTAGATGCCACTGGTTCTTCATGTTCTGCAGATGTAGATGCCACTGGTTCTTCATGTTCTGCAGATGTAGATGCCACTGGTTCTTCGTGATCTGCAGATGTAAATGCCACTGGTTCTTGATGTTCTACAGATGTAGATGCCACTGGTTATTCACGTTCTGGAGATGTAGATGCCACTGGTTCTTCGTTCTGCAGATGTAGATGCCACTGGTTCTTGATGTTCTGCAGATGTAGATGCCACTGGTTCTTCACATTCTGCAGATGTAGATACCAGTGGTTCTTCATGTTCTGGAGATGTAGATGCCACTGGTTCTTCACGTTCTGCAGATGTAGATGCCACTGGTTCTTCGTGATCTGCAGATGTAAATGCCACTGGTTCTTGATGTTCTACAGATGTAGATGCCACTGGTTCTTCATGTTCTGCAGCTGTAGATGCCACTGGTTCATCACGTTCTGCAGATGTAGATGCCACTGGTTCTTCACGTTCTGCAGATGTAGATGCCACTGGTTCTTCACGTTCTGCAGATGTACATGCCACTGGTTCTTCACGTTCTGCAGATGTAGATGCCACTGGTTCTTCACGTTCTGCATATGTAGATGCCACTGGTTCTTCATGTTCTGCAGATGTAGATGCCACTGGTTCTTCACGTTCTACAGATGTAGATGTCACTGGTTCTTCACGTTCTGCAGATGTAGATGCCACTGGTTCTTCACGTTCTACAGATGTAGATGCCACCACCGCCATCTATTGTGCAGCGGCTGAACTTACGACTCTCGGTCCGAACAGGCAACTGGACATACGGATACTTTTGTTCGACTATCTCAAAGTTCGTAAGTCGAATGTTCATAAGTAGAGGCGTCCCTATATTCATGTATATTGCAATGGCATTGCCAGTGATGCATCGTTTTTGCAGAGACGGAGAGAGAGGAAGTAGCCCCCCGCCACTACGCGAGAATAGTTAACATCAAAGTAATTGTCCTCCTCACGTGAGCAACGAGAGATTGGTGCTCGTCCCCTGTTTACAAGCCCTGCCGAGCCAGTGGTGGAAATTCCACATTCCCACATCGGGGAGGGGCGAGCCTGTCCACGGGACACGACCGCTGTTGACTTCCCCACAGAGCGGTGCGTTCATATCATCCGCCTCGGGAGGGAGCAAAAAGATGGGCCGAGTCGAACCCCAGGTGAGGATTTTGAAGTTGCCGACCTTCCCATTCGCGAGCACGAGGGGCCAGAGGGCCTGGCACAGTAAAAGCGGTCACGGTCCAAGAAAAGAAGCGAACCGCCTCGTGCTACGCGACGTCACGGAGTAGCCAATCGGCGCGGACAGCTCATCTCGGACAAACCCCGTGGAAAAGTGGACTGCTCTAGGATTGAATGAAAACCATGTACTCGGTTTCTATATACAGGGTAGTCCTCTACTTACGATGGAGACGCGTAATGACGACCCCATCGTAAGTCAAAAATATCGTAAGTCGAAGATGGCCTAGCCTACTCAGGAGTCTTAAAGAATGGTGATAATTTAGCAAAACAGAGCAATTTACAGTACCGTACTGTAAAGACTATATACTGGATGTATTTATTCATTACAATACTGTATTGCACAGTAAAATGTAAAGTAAAAAAACAAGGTACAGCACACGCGCTAACACCGAGATAACTTAATTCCGTCGACCGCTGGTGAGAGTGAGCCATCACACAAGGCGGGAGATGCGTACATCCCGGCAGCGTCCCAACGTACAGTATCGTACCTCGTACGCCGCTGCGTTTGCCTGCCGCGCAAAATTTCAAATATTTAACAATTTTGTCGCATCGCTATCGCCATCGTAAGATCGAAATATCGTAAGTCGGACCGCCGTAACTCGGGGACTACCTGTATATAAATTATCTATATGAATAAAGTCCTTAATCCGTACGTCTCACACAAAGCACGACGTTTCTTCCCGACCAGGTGGAAAGCTGAGATTTGGCACAGAGGTTAGCTCTTAGGACACAAACAACAGGACACGTCTGAAAATCCGAGATTTTTCATTTTAAAGCCCCCAAATCTCGATTTTAAGCTACACATAAACATGTTTGTGCATGGTATCATTAAGAAACCGTTCAAAATATAACACTGCGTCTCTTTTCGTTTGATGGAGCGTTAAACAGCAAATGCAATTAAAGTGAAAACCATTGTTCTATCTTTTATTGTTTTTGAGATATTTCTGATTGAAGCGGGTTTGATGTTTGAATTATGATGTTCAAATATGAATAATTATAAAACGGTAAAAGATAGGAGAGCTTCCCCTCAGAGAGTATAACGTTAATAAATATTTGTTCTTTAAATTGAGCTATTTCTGATGCGTACATCTTTAAATGTAAGAAGTTGAATCAGGTCAACAATTACTGTGGGGCTTTTTTTGCGGAAAAATACCAAATGTTTGGAGTAGTTGGTGTCTGATCGTAGATTAAAATTGTAAAAAAACACATCAGATTAATTATTATATTTATTGAAAACTTTTGCCTGGCAAAGACAGGCTTCATGAACTAGTATATAAATCTCTCTCTCCTCGACCCTGCTTTTTAAAGGACAGCTTGACAACAATAAACTGGCCATTCACATTGTGTGGAGGGTGGTTTTATATCTCTCTATATAAAGGACCTTCACTTTGCGACACCGGATTTTTCCACTTTCAAATGTCCAAAACCTGGAGGCCTCCCCGCTCAAAGCCAAGGCCCCGTACCGTCGCCAATGTCCATCGTGGGTCTTGAGCCACGTGCGGATATTCCACATTCTCATGGCAGAGGGCCAGTGCCTTCAGACTCCCGACGCACGCGGTGTGCAGCCAACTCTCGATTATCCGGGTTACTGATTAACCGTAAAGCAGGGGTTGGGTGTGTGCCACGGTTAGTCGACAGACAGGTCACACGTGGTGGGGTAAATTGTGGGTACTTCCACCTCTTCCAAGACGCCCGGCCACCGTGCAAGAGGAGATCAAATACCCTGGGAGAGGGGCTTATCGAGCGTTAAGCGGCAAATGAAATTAAAGCGAGAACCGTTGTTCTATCCTTCATTGTTTTTTTGAGGTATTTCAGTCCCCCTCGTTGCCAGCCCCTACTACGAGCGGTGGGCGCGAGTTGGAAATTGCAGGGCCGCGCCTTTATCCACTGCCCGGCGCGAGTCGGCGTCGAGACGTAACGACGTCACGGGGAGGCTATGATAACGCCGTGCGGCGTCTACGCCACGGCCGGAAAAGGCGTACGCGTTTTTAACGCGTGGAATTTTTTGTTTTTATCGCCTCCGTTTGGGCAACAAACCCTTCGATTTGCGTTACAGGGAAGGCCGTATTGAACTCGGGGAAACAATCAGGGTGGTCGTCGCCGGCAACGCACTGACCGCGAGAGATTACGGCAACCTGGGCGGGCAGGCGACGGAATGGGGGTGGCAGAATTTTCTTGAGCCAATCAAAGCAACCTGCGATCAAAGGCGTACATTGCTGAACGATGATTTGTCTATAGGGCTGTAAATAGAGCAGGTGATTCTGGATGGGGTAGGTCAAGTAGTGGTCACTAATTGATTAGGGATGGGGTAGGCCTCTACTAGTCAGTAAGTATATTAGGGATGGGGTACGCCGAGTACTCGTCACTAGTTTATTCGAGACTGACGGGAAGGGCTGATGCACCGACGCTGGCAAAGGCGAAACCGAATGTCGTTACCAATGAACATAATCTTGAATAGGGGTCACGACCCCGATGCGCGACCCGAACTCGCGACCGCTGGCATCCTAACCCCTCCCATCACCTTGTTGATGTCTTCAACGCAGTGGCTCAGCTCGGCTTCCTCCACCAGGACAGCACCAGTGCCAGGCGCGGCCTCGGCCGCGGCCGCGACGGCATCTGCCACGGAGCGCGGAGAGAAGGCGCAGCTTGAGAAAGGAGGAACGCGTCGGTGGTGGCTGCGGCGAGCCTCCTTCGGGAGAGATTCGGCGGCCGCTCGGCGTGCCCTCGACAAATAACGCGGGCGGATAAACGGTGTCCTGCGTATTAAGAGTAACGTTATTCTTTTTGTTTTAATCACTCATGCCTGTTCACCCAGGACAGGGGCCGGTCAACCAAAATAACGAAACGTTCATGGTTTTCCATAATTAGATGGGGTTTTTATTTTGAGTTAGATCACGTAAATGTGGTGTCGTTAAGCCCGCCACCACCCGACCAACACAGCCAATTAGCAAGGGTTGTGTCACGTAAACAAAACGTGCTAATTCGTTACGTGTCGGAAAGTAAACCCGCTGCAGCACTTACAATTCGAGTAGCCGTGACGTTTCGCCGGCAATTACAACCAGTGTCATCAGGCGACAGCCACACAGAGTTGTGGAGAAATCCTCCTGCTGTTTCGATCGAACCAAAAAAAAAAACCTCCTACGGATAATATTGATCGCAAAAGCCTCCGTGTTATTGGCTCGCGGTCTGGATGCAGTCTGTTAAATTCAACAGCGACCGACTCCAAACACATTTCCTACGGGTAGAATTATCTGGACTCGTTCTTCCTTACTCAGAGACATCTTGGGCCTGCAGAAGCAAAAACAATACGAGTTAGTTATTTTTCCCTATGATTCCAGACGCATGGGCCACCCTGAAAATTGTTATCGTCCTTCCCCCGCACCTCGGATTAGCACGGTCTGGTTAGGTATGGCGCGAAAGAAAGCTCAACATCGGTGTATGTATATATTTATACCGGTAAACTTCACTTTCATGCACGGGCTGACGTTCGCTTGACGCCGGGCAGCTATTATTTATTTGCTTTTTTACAAAACGCATTCTGGCCGCATTCAGCTACGCGCAGCGATGGCATTGCCCTGTCTGCGTTGCGAATTCCACATCCCGGTTGAACCGGCTAGCCGACAGCTTCCTGGCACCAGGACATGCATCATCATCACCACCACCATGATCCGTGGGCAGATAGTCCATCGTATCAAGTGTCCACTTCACATTCCGTCATTTGTTTCCACCCTCCTCTCTCTCTTGTAGTGCCAATATGCTCAAGTAGTGTACATCAGAGTAGTGTATTGTACAGTAGTGTATAATAGTGTAGTGTACAGTAGTGCAGTGGATAGTAGTGGATAGTGTAGTGTATCGTAGTGTTTTGTGTAGTGTATAGTGAAGTGTATAGTAGTGTAGCGTATTGCGTCGTGTAGAGTACTGTATAATGTAGTGTACGGTGTATTGTATGTTGTAATGTATAATTTAGTGTATGGTGTAGTGTACAATGTAGTGTATAGTGTAGAATATAGTGTAGTGCATAGTAGTGTATAGTGTAGTATATAGCATACAGCGTACACTATATACTACGACTTTATATGTCTATGAAATGGACTGTGGTGGTTGCAAAGGGAGGGGGGGGGGGGAGGGAGGGAGGGAGGGAGGGAGGGAGGGAGGGAGGGAGGGAGGGAGGGAGGGAGGGAGGGAGAAGGCCTGTGGAGACGATGGCCCAGGACAGAAGTGAAGAAAGAGGAGCAGTAAATAGCAGCAGACCTCCACATGAATGGAGAAATGGCAAGGAAGAGGAGAGGAGGAGGGTGAAGAGAGGAGGGAGACACGAAGAGTATTGGGGGGGGAGGAGGAGAGCGGGAAGAGCAGGGCTGTGACGGACTGTGGGGTGGACGAGGTCCGGGAGAGAAGCGAGCGGAGAAGGAGCGGCAGGAAGGCAGCAGACCCTTGGACGAATGTTGCGAGCGACAAGTTTACTGCGCTTGCACGCAGGAAACAAAAACGCGCGCGCGGTGGCCTCGCGAAACCCCGGCCCGCTCCCGGGTGAGTGACATGTGAACGGAAGCTCCCGATCAGAGGCTCGATCGCCCGCGGCTCACGGCGCTCGCCGACGAGGAGCGGTTTGGGGGGGGGCGCGCAAATCTTCCCGCTCCGATTTGACGCGCACACCCACCCCCCCCCCCTACCAAACACTGGACCCCCGCGCGAGAGCCCCCCCCCCGCCCCTCCCCCAACCTCGCAGATCTCGCGATTTCCACGCCGCCGACGTCACGCGGCGCGCGTCAATCGCCGGCACGGCGGCAGCGGGCGTCCGCGAAGACCGCGAACGGCGAAGGCGCAGCCCCGCAGCTGTCTCGCTCGGGCCGCTGCTGGCAGAGGAGCATCCAGCAGACGGAGCTCGGGAAAGCCCCCAACCTTTAAGAGAGACCCCTAATCTCTAGAGCCCCCCACTCTCAAGAGAGCCCCTCACCCTCTAGAGAGACCCCCACCCTCTAGAGAGACCCCACCTTATAGAGAGACAACCACTCTCAAGAGAGCCCCCCACCCTCTAGAAAGAACCCACCTTATAGAGAGCCCCCACCTTCTAGAGAGTCCCCCACCTTCCAGAAAGACCCCCACCTTCTAGAGAGACCCCCACCTTCTAGAGAGACCCCCACTCTCAAGAGAGCCCCGCACCTTCCAGAGAGACCCCCACTCTCAAGAGAGCCCCCCACCTTCTAGAGAGACCCTCACTCTCAAGAGAGCCCCCCACCTTCCAGAGAGACCCCTGACCTCTAGAGAGCCCCCCACCTTCTAGAGAGACCCCTAACCTCTAGAGAGCCCCCCAACTCTCTAGAGAGCCCCCACCTTCTAGAGAGCCGCCACCTTCTAGAGAGCCCCCACCCTCTAGAGAGCCCCCCACTCTCAAGAGAGACCCCCACTCTCAAGAGAGACCCCACTCTCTAGAGAGCCCCCACCCTCTAGAGAGCCCCCCACCTTCTAGAGAGCCCCCCACCTTCTAGAGAGCCCCCACCCTCTAGAAAGACCCCCACTCTCAAGAGAGACCCCCACCCTCTAGAAAGACCCCCACCCTCTAGAGTGCCCCACCTTCTAGAGAGACCCCCACTCTCAAGAGAGCCCAACACCTTATAGAGAGACCCCCACTCTCAAGAGAGCCCCCCACCTTCTAAAGAGCCCCCCACCCTCTAGAGAGCCACCCACTCTCAAGAGAGCCCCCCACTCTCAAGAGAGCTCCCACCTTCTAGAGAGCCCCCCACCCTATAAAGAGCCCCCCACTCTCTAGAGAGCCCCCCACCCTCTAAAGAGCACCCCACTCTCAAGAGAGACCCCCACACTCTAAAGAGCCCCCCACTCTCAAGAGAGCCCCCCACCTTCTAGAGAGACCCCCACCTTCTAGAGAGCCCCCACTCTCTAGGGAGCCCCCCACTCTCAAGAGAGACCCCCACTCTCAAGAGAGCCCCCCACCTTCTAGAGAGACCCCCACTCTCTAGGGAGACCCCCACTCTCAAGAGAGACCCCCACCTTCTAAGAGAGACCCCTAATCTCTACAGCCCCCCACTCTCAAGAGAGCCCCCGCCTTCTAGAGAGACCCCAACCCTGTTAGCGAGGGGTGGAGAGGATTTAAGAAACTCGCACCGATGGGGATCTCGACGCCGTGGCCGTTACAACCGCGGGCAGCGGCCTTCGCAGTCGCGCTAACGACGGAGCACGCGACACGCTTACTTACCAAGTTCGTGCACGTGTGTGTGTCTGTGTGTCTGTGTGTGTGTCTGTGTGTGTGTCTGTGTGTGTGTCTGTGTGTGTCTGTGTGTATGTCTGTGCGGTTTCAGGAAAGGGCGGTCCTGCACAGATGCCATATTTTCTGTCCGTCTGCTACAGCAGAGGTGTAGGGAATTCCAACGAGACCTACATCTCTGCTTTATTGACCTGGTCAAGGCCTATGATACCATCAGTAGGCCTGGGCTCTGGGTCGTTCTTCGTGCTTTTGGAGTACCTGACCCTCTGCTCACGATCATTAAGGACCTTCATGATGGTGAGCGGGCCCGAGTAAAACTACGTGGCCGGGAGTCAGAGCCATTCCCTGTACACCTTGGGGTGCGACAGGGATGTCCTCTGGCTCCCACATTATTTAACATCTATTTTGACCACGTAGCTCGTGAAGCCTTCAATAGCTGTACCGGGGGAATCTCCATATGGTACAGATATAATGGGAGGCTGATCGATGCCCGGGTGCGGTCAAAGGATGGCTCCCTATTGCTCACCACGTATTGTATGCTGATAATTTGGTAATAGCTGCTCAGTCAGAGGAGGAGTTGGAGACGCTGCTGCTGAGACTGGAGCGTGCCACTAAGAGATGGGGCCTTGCCATAATCCCCACCAAAACTAAGCACCTGCCTGGGTATTTTGTACCATCGGACACTCCACCCCCACAACTTCCAATCGGTGATGGGGCAGTTGTGGAGAGAGTGGAGAGTTTCCCATACCTGGGCAGTGTGCTTATGACTGGCTCCAGTTTAACAGCAGAGGTCTCACTCCGAATCAGTCGAGCGGCAATATCTTTTCATCGGTTGCGTAACGCTGTGTGGAAGCTACCTGGTCTGTCGCTCCGCACTAAGCTTCAGGTCTTCTCGGCCACGGTCATTCCCTCCCTTCTCTACGCTTGCGAAACGTGGACCCCCCTAATGGAACATCTTCGCCGGTTAGAAACATTTAGGCTGGCCTGCCTACGATCCATCCTGGGTTTAACCAGACTGGATTGTGTGAGGAGCTCACAAATCCTTGAAAGATCTGGGCAAGGTCCCATTGGTGAGCTCCTCCGGCGGGCAAGGCTGCGTTGGCTGGGTCATGTAGCCCGCATGCCCAGCCACCGCATGCTGAAACAGCTTTTGTTCGGCCGGATCAAGGGGGCTAAACGGGCGCGGCACGGGCTAGAGAAGAGATGGAGTGATGTGGTACAGAAGGACGTGGAGCTGAGTGGACTTGCCGATGACTGGTACCAGCGGTGTCAAGATCGGCCTCTATGGAGGAGGCTCGTGAAGGACGCTGCTACTGGGCAGTTGAAGGCAGTCGCCCTCCAACAACAACGGAGGGCGGAGGAGCGACGCTCACAACAACGAGCGGAGCGCCGGGTGGCTAAAGCACAGGTTGGCACAGTAGGGGGCACAGGTGGTGCATCAGCCAGTCATCTCAGTCAGTCGACCCGTGGCACCTGGGTCTGCCCCGCGACCTCCTGCCAGCGGGCGTTCTACACTTCACCTGGCCTCAAGGTGCACATGGCCTGGCACAAGCGTCGTGGTGACGTCACCGCCACTTAGTGGCGAATGGCGGTTGTTGTTGTTGTTGTTGTGTGTGTCTGTGTGGGGACAGGTGGTGTAGCGGTTAGCGCTACGCTGCGCTACGAACCCGGTGACCCGAATTCGATTCCCGCTCACAGCCAAACAACGGTGACTGATATCTAAATCAGTCCTGGGCCTCCCCTACGTCGACTCAGCCTCAAATGAGTTCCTGGTGCGGTGCGTACAAAAACATCATCACTGGGCAGACAAAAGCGGGCATGTTTAGTGATGGTGATTTAGTTGGGAGCGGTAGTGTAGCGGTTAGCGCGCTGCACTAGGAACCCGGCGATCCGAGTTCGATTCCCGCTCACGGCCAACACCGGTGACGATTATCTGAACCGGTCCTGGGCCTCCCCTAGGTCGACTCAGCCACAAATGAGTACCTGGTGCGGTGTGTAAACATCGCCACTAAGGAGACAAAGGCGGCCGGGCGTGGTGCTCACCACCCGCCCCCTCCGTGTGCCGTGCCGGCCTTCACAGGCGCTACTCGCTCACGGCACTTGCCCCAACGGCAGTCTGTTACAGGCTATGCGGGGGATCTTTGTATTTTGTGTTTGTGCGTGTCCTGGCCGGAAGCTCACCGGCGCAGGTGCAGCGTGCCAACGGTGCCAGCATCGGAGACAAGAGGTAGCGCTGGGCGAGCGCCGGATTCTCCCTCGCCATAGTGACCGCCGTCGTCGTGGCGACGCGCTGGAACGATCGGGCCGTCTGCCGGTCCTCGATGTGCAGCAGCTCCAGCACCTGTGAGCGCACGTGAGCGCACGCACACAAAGATCCCCCGCATAGTGTTCACGGACCGTTGGGGCAGGTGCCGTTAGCGAGCGCCTACGAAGGCCGTCGCGCAAGAACACGGGGTGGAGGGCAGCACCACGCCCGGCAAACCTTCGACTCCCCAGGACACACCGCACCAGGTTCTCAGTTGAGGCCGAGCCGACCTAAGGGAGGGCCCATGACAGGCTCACATAATCGTCGCCGGTGTTGGCCGTGAGCGACAATCCAACTCTGGTCGCCAGGTTCACAGTTCGGCACACTAACCGTGTTCCACTACTGCTTCTCATACACCACACAAAGACAAAGATCCCCCGTGTAGCCTTAACAGACTGTTGGGGCAAGTGCTGTTAGCGAGCGCTTACTTAGGCCAGCACGGCACACGAGGGGGTGGGTGGCCAGCGCCACGCCCGTCCGCCTTTGTCTCCCCAGTGGCGATGTTTACACACCGCACCAGGTACTCATTTGAGGCTGAGTCGACCTAGGGGAGGCCCGGGACCGGTTCAGATAATCGTCACCGGTGTTGGCCGTGAGCGGGAATCGAACCCGGGTCACCGGGTTTGTAGCGCAGCGTAGCGCTGACCGCTACGCCACCGCTCCCCACATGCGCGCGCACACACACACACAGAGACGCACACACACACAGAGACGCACACACACACACAGAGACGCACACACACACACAGAGACGCGCACACACACACAGAGACGCGCACACACACACAGAGACGCACACACACACACAGAGACGCACACACACACAGAGACGCACACACACACACAGAGACGCACACACACACAGAGACGCGCACACACACACAGAGACGCGCACACACACACACAGAGACGCGCACACACACACAGAGACGCACACACACACGCAGAGACGCGCACACACACACGCAGAGACGCACACACACACACAGAGACGCGCACACACACACACAGAGACGCGCACACACACACAGAGAGACGCGCACACACACACAGAGACGCGCACACACACACAGAGACGCACACACACACACAGAGACGCGCACACACACACAGAGACGCGCAAACACACACAGAGACGCGCAAACATACCCCCAGGCAAAAGTGGCGGGGCGGGGGGGTAGAGGGTGAGGGGTTGTTGGGGGAACAGACACTGAACGTGAACACAACGACGACCACAGCGGCAACCTGAGCCGAGAAGCAATTTAAATCGGAGGGGTCAGCCGTCGCTGAAGGGCGCGGGGGAACGTGCGGCGCTGTCGGCAGCTTCACAAAGCGGCAAGGGACCAGGCCCGATTCCCGACTCGGGCGGGGGCGAGCCCCGCGTGGGCCATTTTAAGTCCCCCACCTCCCCCACCCCATCCGCCCCCCCAGAAAATCGTTTTGTGCACGTGACTCAACCTTACTAATTGATGGCGGGTTTAACGACACGTTTACATAATAGAGGTTTTTTTGGGGTTAGATCGCGTAAATATATGACGCCAAAAGGCGTCATCTGGTCGAGCACCAATTGGGTCGAGGCTCAAAAGAAAGCCGTCCCTTGGTGTGGACCAATCAGTTTCAAGGACAATGCATATATTATCATAGTATGTTTTTTGTTTGCATTTTGACTGCAGGTATTGTGGTTAATGCAGACATGAATCCTTGTAAAAAGGTTTCAGTTTTGTTGCCAGAAAAAAAGGGGAAAAACCCTATTATTATTATATAAATGTGACGTTAAACCCGCCACCACCCGACACAGCCAACTCGTAAGGGTTGTCACGTAAACAGAACGTGGCCAATTCGTCACTAGTACAGCACACCGGTGTGTTGGAGAGCCAAGCCACAACATTTCCAATCTGAGTACGACGTTTCACCAGTAATTACAAATAGCTTCATCAGGCGACAGCCAGATTATGGATATTGGTCGCGAAAGCCTACGTGTTAAACGTTTATATATTGACAAGAACTAACCCCAAAAAAAAACCTCCATTACGGGTGAACTCTCTCCCGATTAGCTCCCACGTCTAAGTTTGCCCACCCTTGTGGAGGCGTGCGGGCAATTCCTCTCCTAACGAACGCAGCGCGCAATTGGTTGGCATGCCAGGCCACCGCCTGGTGGCTAGGAGACGTTAACTCCCTGGCCCGGTATGCTGGAGGTCGTAGGTTCGATCCCGACCCTGACGTCCGCTGTATATTTGGAGTTTGCGTGTTCTCCCCATGGCCGGGTGGATTTTTATCCGAGTCCACCGGTTTACTCCGTCGTGGCGAACAGTTCTCAACATTGGCATTCAGTGCCTGAAATTATTGCGAGCATGGGAAAGAATATAATAGCACGTTCTACCCCCACGCTGTTCTGCAGGGTGTGAGTAGAGTTTGTGTGTTCTACCCCCACGCTGTTCTGCAGAGTGTGAGTGAGTAGAGTTTGTGTGTTCTACCCCCACGCTGTTCTGCAGGGTGTGAGTGAGTAGAGTTTGTGTGTTCTCCCCCTGTTCTGCAGGGTGTGAGTGAGTAGAGTTTGTGTGATCTCCCCCTGTTCTGCAGGGTGTGGAGTGAGTAGAGTTTGTGTGATCTCCCCCTGTTCTGCAGTGTGAGTGAGTAGAGTTTGTGTGTTCTCCCCCTGTTCAGCAGGGTGTGAGAGAGTAGAGTTTGTGTGTTCTCCCCCTGTCCTTAAGGGTGAGAGTGAGTAGAGTTTGTGTGATCTCCCCCTGTTCTGCAGGGTGTGAGTGAGTAGAGTTTGTGTGTTCTCCCCTGTTCTGCAGGGTGAGAGTGAGTAGAGTTTGTGTGATCTCCCCCTGTTCTGCAGGGTGTGAGTAGAGTTTGTGTGATCTCCCCCTGTTCTGCAGGGTGTGAGTAGAGTTTGTGTGTTCTCCCCCTGTTCTGCAGGGTGTGAGTGAGTAGAGTTTGTGTGATCTCCCCTGTTCTGCAGGGTGTGGAGTGAGTAGAGTTTGTGTGATCTCCCCCTGTTCTGCAGGGTGTGAGTGGGTAGAGTTTGTGTGATATCCCCCCTGTTCTGCAGGGTGTGAGTGAGTAGAGTTTGTGTGATCTCCCCCCTGTTCTGCAGGGTTTGAGTAAGTAGAGTTTGTGTGTTCTCCCCCTGTTCTGCAGGGTGTGAGTAAGTAGAGTTTGTGTGTTCTCCCCCTGTCCTGCAGGGTGAGAGTGAGTAGAGTTTGTGTGATCTCCCCTTGTTCTGCAGGGTGAGAGTGAGTAGAGTTTGTGTGTTCTTCCCCTGTTCTGCAGGGTGTGAGTAGAGTTTGTGTGATCTCCCCCTGTCCTGCAGGGTGAGAGTGAGTAGAGTTTGTGTGATCTCCCCCTGTTCTGCAGTGTGTGAGTAGAGTTTGTGTGATCTCCCCCTGTTCTGCAGGGTGTGAGTAGAGTTTGTGTGATCTCCCCCTGTTCTGCAGGGTGTGAGTGAGTAGAGTTTGTGTGATCTCCCCCTGTTCTGCAGGGTGTGAGTGAGTAGAGTTTGTGTGATCTCCCCCCTGATCTGCAGGGTGTGAGTGGGTAGAGTTTGTGTGTTCTCCCCTGTTCTGCAGGGTGTGAGTGAGTGGAGTTTGTGTGATCTCCCCCTGTCCTGCAGGGTGAAAGTGAGTAGAGTTTGTGTGATCTCCCCTGTTCTGCAGGGTGAGAGTGAGTAGTGTTTGTATGTCCTCCCCCTGTTCTGCAGGGTGTGAGTGAGTAGAGTTTGTGTGATCTCCCCTGTTCTGCAGGGTGAGAGTGAGTAGAGTTTGTGTGATCTCCCCCCTGTTCTGCAGGGTGAGAGTGAGTAGAGTTTGTGTGATCTCCCCCTGTTCTGTAGGGTGTGAGTGAGTAGAGTTTGTGTGTTCTCCCCCTGTTCTGTAGGGTGTGAGTGAGTAGAGTTGGTGTGTTCTCCCCCTGTCCTGCAGGGTGTGAGTGAGTAGAGTTTGTGTGATCTCCCCCTGTCCTGCAGGGTGTGAGTGAGTAGAGTTTGTGTGATCTCCCCCTGTTCTGCAGGGTGTGAGTGAGTAGAGTTTGTGTGTTCTCACCCTGTTCTGCAGGGTGAGAGTGAGTAGAGTTTGTGTGTTCTCCCCCTGTTCTGCAGGGTGAGTAGAGTTTGTGTGTGCTCCCCCTGTTCTGCAGTGTGAGTGAGTAGAGTTTGTGTGTTCTCCCCCTGTTCAGCAGGGTGTGAGAGAGTAGAGTTTGTGTGTTCTCCCCCTGTCCTTAAGGGTGAGAGTGAGTAGAGTTTGTGTGTGCTCCCCCTGTTCTGCAGAGTGTGAGTGAGTAGAGTTTGTGTGTTCTCCCCCTATTCTGCAGAGTGTGTAGAGTTTGTGTGTTCTCCCCCTGTTCTGCAGGGTGTGAGTGAGTAGAGTTTGTGTGATCTCCCCCTGTCCTGCAGGGTGTGAGTGAGTAGAGTTTGTGTGATCTCCCCCTGTTCTGCAGGGTGTGAGTGAGTAGAGTTTGTGTGATCTCCCCCTGTCCTGCAGGGTGTGAGTGAGTAGAGTTTGTGTGTTCTCCCCGTGTTCTGCAGGGTGTGAGTGAGTAGAGTTTGTGTGTTCTCCCCTGTTCTGCAGGGTGTGAGTGAGTAGAGTTTGTGTGATCTCCCCCTGTCCTGCAGGGTGTGAGTGAGTAGAGTTTGTGTGATCTCCCCCCTGTTCTGCAGGGTGTGAGTGAGTAGAGTTTGTGTGATCTCCCCCTGTCCTGCAGGGTGTGAGTGAGTAGAGTTTGTGTGATCTCCCCCCTGTTCTGCAGGGTGTGAGTGAGTAGAGTTTGTGTGATCTCCCCTGTTCTGCAGGGTGAGAGTGAGTAGAGTTTGTGTGATCTCCCCCCTGTTCTGCAGGGTGAGAGTGAGTAGAGTTTGTGTGATCTCCCCCTGTTCTGTAGGGTGTGAGTGAGTAGAGTTTGTGTGAGCTCCCCCTGTTCTGCAGGGTGAGTGAGTAGAGTTTGTGTGATCTCCCCCTGTTCTGCAGAGTGTGAGTGAGTAGAGTTCGTGTGATCTCCCCCCTGTTCTGCAGGGTGTGAGTGAGTAGAGTTTGTGTGATCTCCCCCTGTCCTGCAGGGTGTGAGTGAGTAGAGTTTGTGTGATCTCCCCCCTGTTCTGCAGGGTGTGAGTGAGTAGAGTTTGTGTGTTCTCCCCCTGTTCTGCATTGGTTTCCTCTGGGTTCTCGCCTGCTAAAGGGCCAAGACAACATCCCAGTCCTCAATATTTACCTGCTAATTACTCAATTGGGACCATAATCTGCAGCAGCATCGCAACCCGGCTGTGAAAAACCTGGCACGACCCTCCTTAAAAAAAGCCTTGAGACTCACTGAGGCTCCCCTGGGTAACTAAGATGAAATAAATCAACAAAACCTTTCACGTGGCACGCATGGGGTATCATTCGGAACGGTAATTATCTATAATTTTAGAAAGTAAGGTTTAGGCTAGGAACACGAAAACGTGAAACTCGATGCACCACCGCCATCTCGGCGCGGACTCAAGAGTCAAGTTCAAATGAGTTCGGCATTTCACGAGCAATTCTCTCTGAAGCGAGTGGGGAGTCTCCGCGCATTCACTCCGTCTGTCCGTCCGTCCGTCCGCTGTGCGGGGAGGGGTCCCGCTCACTCTCGTAGCGATTGATCCAATATCATCAATGCCGATTATTCACCTGCTCCAGTCGCTACGAGTATTCTTCTCTCCATTGCAGCGCCTTGATTGGTTGGCGTGCTATGCCCAAGTAGCCAGTCACTTGACGATCACGCTCATTATCACCCGCACCTGCAAGGCGTCTTGACTAAATGTCCACCTCCGTCAATTAGCATCGGTTCCCTAAGCCCCCCAGGTACGAGCGTCGCACCGCAAGCGTGAGAATCGACACGGCTTCGATTCGCCCGTGTGTGACGTGCAATGCACTTGAATCGAACTCGGGGTGGCTGGGTGTGGGGGCATGTGGTGTGCTAAACGGTGCCCCAACCGCTCCCTGCTAATTAAGCATGAACACTTGCGCATGACGCACAAAGACACACACACACACATGCACACACACGTGTTCACTCAAGCACGCGTAGCCGCAGGAACATACAAGCAACAAAAAAAAACCACGGCAAAACCGATGGAGGGCCGAGAGCATCTTCCCCCTGCGACGATTTAAATTTCCGAACCGACCCGGACCATCGCAGGCCAAGGCCCACGGCTCTTCCGTGCACTCTGCACGTGGTAATACTCAACCGTTACGAATTCTCACGCTCGCTCGCGATCGTGCGCGCGCACACGGGACCGCTCATTTTTACAAACCACCCCCCCCCCTCCCGCGCCGCCCTCCCCCCCACCCCCCGTCCCCGCCCGTCACGCCCGCCGGGCCCGCGGCCGCCGCCGGCCCACGTGCGAGCGATTCCCTTACCCGCGCTCGTTACCGGAGCTGCGTCACGACGACCCTCCTAATTGGCGGCGACAAAAAGGCTCGCTGCACCCGCGGCCTCCGACCTCCGACCCGAGAAATCGTTTGGACGAATGTGCCGAGTGGCCGCCGTTTTACCTATTCATTTTTTCAACCGTTGGCCTTCCATCAATTTTTTTTTCGTTTTTCTCAGTAGGAAATAAAAAAAGCAAAAACAAAAATCCCTCGGGCGCGTGATGGCGCCGGCGTGGACGCGCCGTCTCACCTGTGGGCACACGATGCGGTAGTGCTCCTCCGGCGAGGACGATCGGCCGCCGCAGGACGCCAGGATTCGGGCGACCGCCTCGCACCTCCGCCAGTCCGCCGCCGCCACCTCCGCATCCGCGCAGTCTGCTGCCATCCCGGATGCTGCTGCGACGGCACCGAGGGCACGGTGAGCGAGCGAGCGACTCCCCCGTCACGTAGCGACTGCCGGCGCGGCGCAAGCAACGGCCAGGTCGCCGGAGCGGGCAGTGCAAAGCTGAAGCAGATCAACCACCACGGCCCATCGTCGTCATCATCCTACTCATAATAATAATAATAATACGCGTCAAATTGTAGCGCTGCGCATCTGCCGGTTTCGCTTGCCCTCGGAGAGAGAGCGAGAGAGAGCGACTCGGGGGTGCCGGAAGGCAGCAGCCGCGCGGGCGAGCCGGCGCCAAAAACTGCCCGAGCTCTGCGGTCCGCTGTACGTTAAGATGCTTTCGGCCAATTAATGAGCGTTCACACGTGGTGGGAAACCGGAGCGCCCGGAGGAAAAGCGGCACGCGTGTGAATGGGTCGGGGGGGCGAGTAGCAAGCGTCATCTCGGTCATCTCAGCCAGTCGACCCACGGCACCTGCAGCAGGGTCTGTCCCGTGACCTCCCGGCCAGCGGGCGTCCGACATGTTCACGTGGCCTCAACGTGCACCTAGCCTGGCACGAGCGCCGTGGTGACGTCACCGCCGCTCAGCGGCGCGAACGGCGGCTGTTGTCGTCGTCGTCGTCGTCGTTGTTGTTGTTGGTGGTGGTGGCGAACGTACCGCAGGCCCCCTCCATGACTCCGCCCACCACCGCCAGCACCCCGCGCGGGCGGAGCATCGCGTCGGTGAGGAGCCGGCTGCAGGTGCTGTGCAGCCACTTGGGGGCTCGCCCTCCCTGCAAGTGGCCATCGCCGCGTTTCATAGTCGCCATCAGAACGCCGTCATCAGCAATAGCGGGAGAAACATCAGCAGCAGCAGCGGCGGCAGAAGCAAAAGAAACAGCAGCAGCAGCAGCATCAGCAGCAGCAGCAGCAGCAGCATCATTATCAGCATCATCAGCAGCGGCAGAAGCAAAAGAAGCAGCAGCAGCATCATCAGCAGCATCATCAGAAGCAAAAGACGCAGCAGCATCATCAGCAGCAGCATCATCAGCAGCATCATCATTATCAGCATCATCAGCAGCGGCAGAAGCAAAAGAAGCAGAAGCATCATCAGCAGCATCATCATTATCAGCATCATCAGCAGCGGGAGAATAAAAAGTAGCAGCAGCATCAGCACCATTAGCAGCATCATCAACAGCAGCAGCAGCAGCACAAATCAAAGTCGGGGCCATGGCGCGGCCCAGAGGCGGAGCGCTTGCCACTCGTTGTTGCGCTTTTAAAGCATCTGGAATGAGAACCCAATTCTTGAAACTGCTGCTTGTGTTTAGTTTGTTGTCCTCCCCCCCGCACCTCCGATGAGCGCGGTTGGCTACGTACGGCGCGAAAAGAAGTTCAACGTGCGTACGTACATACGCCGGTTAGAAACATTTAGGCTGGCCTGCCTACGATCCATCCTGGGTTTAACCTGCAGGCTGGATTGTGTGAGGAGCTCACAAATCCTTGAAAGATCTGGGCAAGGTCCCATCGGTGAGCTCCTCCGGCAGGCAAGGCTGCGTTGGCTGGGTCATGTAGCCCGCAAGCCCAGCCACCGCATGCCTAAACAGCTTTTGTTCGGCCGGATTGAGGGGGCAAAGCGGGCGCGGCACGGGCTAGAGAAGAGATGGAGTGACGTGGTACAGGAGGATGTGGAGCTGAGTGGACTTGCCAATGACTGTTACCAGCGGTGTCAAGATCGGCCTCTGTGGAAGAGGCTCGTGAAGGATGCTACTGGGCAGTTGGAGGCAGTCGCTCTCCAACAACAGAGAGCGGAGGAGCGATGCTCACAACCACGAGCGGAGCGCCGGGTGGCTAAAGCACAGCAAGTTGGCACAGGTGGTGCATCAGCCAGTCGTCTCAGTCAGTCGACCTGTGGCATCTGGGTCTGCCCCGTGACCTCCTGCCAGCGGGCGTTCGACACTTTGTGGCCTTAAAGTGCACTTAGCCTGGCACAAGCCAGGCTATGTGCACTTAGTGGTGAATGGCGGTTGTTGTTGTTCAAGCCATGGCCCAGAGGCAGCGCGATCGCCGCTTGTTGTTGAAATAGGTGCACAGTTCGAATCCACTCGGCCGTCCTGGTTCCATTACACTCAGCTGCCCTGGTACGAATCCACTAGGCTGCCCTGATAATCACTTCGGCTGTGATAACCGGAACAACAAAAATAATAATGCCTTCACGGTGAATGTTTACGATCCCGTGACGTCATTCGCGAGAGTGGGCCACTCACTGCATGCGCCGGCGTCACAGTCCACTTTTTTTTAACAAATCCGAAAAATGACACCGCAAATTTACTCGACTAAGGGACTGTTACACGGCAGCAAATTCGTTGCCGCAAGCCGGCAGACGAATACTCCAAGTGGCGCTCTTGCAAATGAGACTCTTCATTCATTCAACTTGTTCTTCGAGGGCATCGCAATACTTTACGGTATAAATTAAACGAAGGCAGCTCCCTAATCTATAAACTCAAGACACTCGCATATAAAAAAAAAATCTAAATGAGAGAGGATATACTCAAGGAAATTCTAAAAGTAAAATGAGAGTTCCATTTCTTAGCCGCCACACTCGAGAAGGCCCCTACCTACGACCGCCCAGCGTAGAATAAAAACATCCTCGGTTGAGCTTGCAGGGCCTGGCCTGAGGAGCGCAAGACGTAGTCTGGGGGAGCCAGACGGGCTGCAGGTACTGAGGATCAAGGCCCTTTAGAGCTTTGTAGTCCCTTGTGGTCTCTCGAGCCTCTCGCCTCGGTTAAACCAAATCAACGGGCGGCTTGGAACGATTGAATCATCCGTACAGCTCTGGCTCGCGAGCCGCACGCGCGGACGCGTCCCGGGCGGCTCGATAGAACGACTCAAGAGTTTTAAGTTTTTAACGCGAGAGACTTATTTGCAACGAACAACAACAACAACAAATCTGTGGAAAAAGCGCTAGCGGCCCCGGGGCGCCCGCTCCCGGCAGTGCGGCTATGACGGCGAGCTCGCGATTACGCCGGGAAACGAGTTGCCCCTTCACCCGTTCTTCACCAAGCCTGACGCCGACGGATGAAGTGGGGTCCAGAGAAACACTCTCCCATGACTGACACTGCGTAGGGGGAGGCCTTCAACGCCCCCTACGTAGTTTATTATTTGTACCTGGGGGTCTAAGAAACATTTTCCATAAATGTACAAAACATGGATTGCAGTTTGGATTCCCAAAGATGGCAATGCAAATATTTTGTCTTATTTAAATAACTATTTATTATTATTATTTACGACGTTGGCTTGAATACCGATCGTGGTTGAGCCAAACTCGGGCAGAAAGCCGACTCTGTGTGGTGAGGTTAACGTCTTCTAAATATTGCTCCCTTGTCATTTCCGGCCGTGCGAGCGCGAATGTTGAGGACGTTGCTCAGAAAGCTGCGACATCAGAATCAGAATATGTATTTATACTGCAGGAGGAATCTGATGAGCTATAAAGCTCTTTTATCAACAGATGTCCAGTAGGGACACTGGGGTCAGAACGTTACAACAAACAGTACACAAACACGACAGTAGTGCAAAGTACAAGGTAAACAAATCACAAAAAATACACAAATAATAATAACTAGGGCGGCCCTTCCAGATACTAATCGCAAACTTGTGCATCAAGCAATGAATCCTTAGCGCTGCGGTCAGCCGTCGGACAATTCTAAATGCCCGGGAGAAGCTATCAAACACGTACAAATACAACAACTAAACAATTATATTCTTGGTTCTTTTGGTAAAGTCACGTGAAGAGAAACAATAAAATAATATATATAAAAAAAACAATAAACAAAATATTTTATTGTTTCCCTTCAACGTGACTTACTGAAAGAACCAAGAATATGAATCACTGCAGTCACGAAAAGCTTTAAATCAAAACTAAACAATTCCCATCCTACCAGGCAAGGCCCACTGAGGTATTAACTTATTTCTTTATGACCTAAACCTCACCGCACACTCGCAGCGTGGCTTCCAGCACACATTGGGTCAACATATTTTCTCACGATTCGCCGCCAAATGATTTCCAAGTTCCAAAAAACAAATAACCGCTGACACCGACCAAAAGCACAGCATCACTTAATCATTATCCGTGCGTTATATATTTACGTATACCGTGGGTGTGTGTTTGTTTACCTGACATTAAATGCACACACGTATGAAAATACTGAAGCTTCTTTAAAAATAAATATATAAAACGCGGGCTTTTAATCGCGCGCAGCTCTGTGTCAACGTGCTTAAGAGAAGCGCCGGGTCAAAACATCGCAGCGTTGAACGAGCGAAACTTTCACACCCCATATACAAGGCAGGGGGAGTGATCCCTCTGCAAAAGTCACACGCGTCGAGCACGGTCGGAAATAAAGGCTTGCCATTGTAGCCGAGACTGAACCGTCGTGAATAACCAGGCACAGAAACGAAGTGTCTGCGATACATCCCCACGCCTCTCTCCACGGTGCTTGTGCACCCATTACCCCCCGTGGGGGTTTATTACCGCGACGCACGCAGCTGGTCGCCGCGTGCACGTGATATGTACGCGTCGCATGCACTCAGCAAGTCCCTTGGTTTTAAGATGCCACCGATTACGACATTTCTATTGACGCATACTCTCAGCCACTTATCTTAACCACCTTATTTAGAGGCCAACTCAGAGCTTATTGGTCACCACCGTGCCCCTTATAAATCTCAACGTTCATCCTACAAAGTCTCATCGCAAGGGAGAAACGCAAAAAATAGGAATTTTTTTGGGGGGGCTGTACGCCGTATGGGCCAGAAAACTCAATTTCCCTGTACAAGAATACGGTGTAAACCCGTATGGGTTGACAGGTTTGTTAACGAGATTCGCCCTCCCACCGGGGTCCCCATTGTTTCCATCAACAATGCATTTTCGATTTAACGTTTGTGAATTCACGCGGCCCACCAATTTCGGCCAATCGGAGCGCTCCTAACGTGCGGTAGACCTCAGCCAATCGGCGACGCGCCCTTTTGCGAGCGTTTTGAGAGCAACTGGCTGCTTAGCTTTTGCAATGTTTGATGGGCATTGCTCATGGAAACAAGCTCACTTGAATACCAAGTGATCTTTTTTTTGTTACTTAAAAATGTAACAAGATCAAGAAAACAACGGCCCCTAAAATGAATGTGAAGGAAGGCACGAAATCGAGGAAAACAATCCGTGTGCAAATTAAGCAGGGAATTATTGAAAAACACGAAAGAGGTTTTAAAAACAAGCGATTGTGAGTTAACACGTAGGCTTTCGCGACGAACATCATTCATCATAAAGGTTTGTGGGTTAGATCGCGAAAGTATAAATGTGTCGTAACCTTCCAACACCCGACACGGCCAATAAGTAAGGATTTGCCACGTAAACAAAGCGCCAATTAGTGACTACTTCAGCCCACCGGTGTGTTGGAGAGTGAATCCACAACAATTTGAGTCGTACGACATTGCACGGTAATTGCATCCAGCATCATAGTAAAGCAATCACTTGCTCCCGGTCTTAAATAGAGCAGCAGGGTGACGTCATTCTACCATTTCCGCGATTACTCAACATGAGGACAAACTCAAAGCTTCCGATGTGAAGGATGCCTCGACCAGGATTTGTACAGGTTTGGGAAACTTTAAAATAGGGAGACTCCTTATGACAAATGCTTGGGGAATCTGTAAGTTCAGCCCAAGTCATTTATAAATGTTATAAACTACATTTGTAAGGTGTGAAAACGTTCAACTTCCCATCGTTTTGGAACAAATTAAGCCTTTAACACGTCCATAATTAGTAAGGTTTGTTACGTGACAACCCTTACTAGTTGGCTGTGTCGGGTGGTGGCGGGTTTAACGACACAACATTTATATAGTCATGCGATCTAACCCCAAAAAACCTGTATTGTGGATGATATCGGTCGCAAAAGCCTACGACGTGTTCAACCCCCCTTGAACACGTATTTCCTACATTCGATTAACAATGATTTCAATTCACAAAGGTTTCTGAGGAACAAATTAATAATATCGTTAACCGAGGGGCTGCTGTAAATGTGACGTATATATTACATTGAATTTCTTGTGTTATTATTATTACTATTTGGAGCGACTTGCCATGGCGAGGAGTGAATGTCACATCACATCAAGGCGCGCGTCAATCGCGACACATTCCCCACGGCCATGCTCGCGGGATGGGGCGGGGGGGGGGGGAACGTGACCTTTCCCAAGTTGGAAATAAGAGAGACAGGGCCTGGAATGATGTGTCGTCTTCTCCATCTCTATTACTGGCTGTCTGTCCACGTAGCTCCCGGCCTGCCTGCCTCTGTGTCTGTCTGTCTGTCCACGTAACTCTCTGTGTGGCTGTCTTGTTAGTCTGCGTGTCTGTCTGTATGTGTTTGTCTGTTCGTCCTTGTATTTCTGTGCATGGTTGTCTGTCTGTATGTATGATTGCCTGCCTGCCTATTTCTACATCTGTCTGTCCATGTAGCTGTGTGGCAGCTGTCTTGTTAGCCTGCTCGTCTATATGTCTGATTGCTTGCCTGCATATTTCTACATCTGTCTGTCCATGTAGCTCTCTGCATGGTTGTGTGTCTGTCTGTCTATCTCTATGTCTGTCTGTTTGCCTTCGTGTGTGAGTCTGTTTTCTTGGAAGTCTGCTAGTCTGTGTATTTGTCTATTTTCCTCTTTGTTTTATGCACCGTTGTCTATAATCTTATTTGTCTGCATGAATGTTTGTTTGTCTCTGTCTTACTGTGTGTCTCGGGATCGGTAGCCTAGCTGGTAGAGCACTGCGCCATGAATACGGTGACACGAGTTCGATTCCCACTCACCACAAACACCAATAACGGATTATCTGAACTGGTCCTGGGCCTCCCCTAGATCGACTCAGCTTCAAATGAGTACCTGGTGCGATGTATAAACTCGCCACCGATGTTAGCAGCGACTGATGAATGTAGTCACTTCTGCACGCACGGTAAGGCTGTGAACGTGGGGTGACTAAACGTTATCCTCCCAACAACACCGATTTTACCACCACCACCACCACCGCTATTGTCATCATCAACTGCAGGGTGTCCCTGCGGTGTTACGGTTCGCACGCCGCACTGGTTCCATTAAATCTACCGGCATCGGCAGTTGGGCCAATGGCAAAGCTTCTTAATTCACCACCCGCCTCTCTCTGGCTCAGCAACCTGGAACATATTGCCGCAACCCAGCACACCACATCCAGTGTACTATCCCTCGCAACGGCTGCGGCTACTGCTCAAGTCACGTGCCCCCTACGCCAGTATGCCTGCGACACGGAAAATATTTACGCAACCTGGCTTATCACATCCAGTATACCTCCCACAATGGCTGGGGGCTCCCACTAGTCACATGACACCTGCTCCAGTCTACCAGTGACCAATAGAACAATGCCACAAACCAGCACACCGCATCCAGTAGACATTTTTTGGCGATGGTTGTGGCTACTTATAGTCACGTGACACCCACTCCAGCCCACCGGCAATGAGGAAAACCTTGCCACAACCCAGCACAACGCATCCAGTAGACTTCTCACAATGGCTGGCGGGCTACCGCTAATCACGCGACACCTAATTCAGTCTAGCAGTAAAACATTTCCTGAACCTGGGTAACCACATCCAGTACACTTCTTGCAATGGCTTGGGACAACCACTGATAACATGACGCCTACTCCAATCTCCCATTGATCAGTAAAACATTTCCACAAGCAGGCTTACCACATCCAGTATGCCTCCTGCAATGGCTGCGGCTACTACTTGAGTCACGTGCCACCTACTCCAGTATACCAGAGGCCCGAAAAATATTTGCGCAAGTACAGTATGCCTTTTTTGCGATGGCTGTGGCTACTAACTGGTCGCGTACCACCTCACGGGGTATAAAATCACTGGGTAAATATCAACATATCTTAAAAAACAAAAATGAAGGCCACGGTGTCGAAACATTTTTTTCTTTAAAAGAATGGAACGTCAACGTGTAACGCGCACAGGGAATCATTCACTCTCAATCACAGCCCTACGCAAGAGGCGCGACGAACCACAGACGTGTGTGTGTGTGTGTGTGCATGTACGTTGAACTTCTCTTGCACCTTACGTAGCCAATCGTGCTAATCGGACGAGCGGGAAGGCCAGCGCGCGATGAGTAGGCTCCGACAATTGCCCAAGCTCTGCGGTCCTCTGTATATGAAGGCGTTATCGGCCAATTAATGAGCGTGCTTGCACGAGGGAGGAAACTGCGGCGCCCGGCGGAAAACCGACGCGCGCGAGGGGGAAACACTCTATCCCGTACAGACGGGACAAGGTGGAGTCCACACCTTTGCTGCACCGCCTCCGCCTGGCGAGCCAGGGTACGGCACCTCCTCCGCCTCCCCCACCTCCCCGACGCCCACGGGGAGGGAAAATTGGCAACAGATTTGCGCGCTGATCCGCCAACAACCCTCGCCGCTGCCCCGACGATGCCGGGGGGTGGGGGGGGTGTCACGGGTGGAAGGGCGGCGGCCACGGACCTTGACAGCGGCGCCTTGCAGCACCAGCAGCTCGCGCACCACGGCCGGCTGGTACACCCTCCGCAGCAGTCGGGAGAGCTTCCGTTCGCAGTGGCGCCTCTCCTCCGCTGCCACCTCCTGTGGGGGGGAGTGTGGGGGGGGGGGGGGGCATCGACCGCAGAGGGGTTTGTCCGCAATTCCGGCTGTCACCTGATGAGGCTGGTTTTTTTTTTTATTCTTTCACAAAAGTGTTTTGTGAACAAGACGATTTGGGTAATCTTGATTTGAAGCTTTCGTGACCGCAGGAGTCCATGCGCCCGAAACGTCGCGAGTTCTTTTATTTTATAGCTACGTGACTTTACCGAGAGAACCAAAGAGCACCATTTGGGTACACACAGAGGATATGCGAGGAGGTTGACACCAGCGCACACACATTTATGGACTCCAGGATGAGGCTGGTTCTAATTAGTGTAAATGTTGCGGGGTTCACTCTCCAACACACAACCGGTGGGCTGAACTCGTAACTAATTGGCACGTTTTGTTTACGAGACACAACCTTACTAACTGGCTGCGTCGGGTGGTGGCGGGTTTTACGACACATTTATATTTGTGCGATCCAACCCAAAAAAAAACCTCTTATGTGGATAATATTGGTCGTGAAAGCCTCCTACTACTACTGCGTGTTAGAAGCTTAGACTGTGTTTGACACCTCTTATCTGCTGCCCATTCTCTTCCTCTCCCCTCGCCCCTCCGCTACTTCCCATCCCTCCCCCGTAGCCCTTTCAAGGTCCCCAAGTAACCCCTCTATTGCGGTCGCTCATTCCTCAACCCTCGTAGCACGCCCCCCCCCCTGCCATCCAAGTCGTTCTTTCATTCCACGTCACCGTTTCGTAAGCTGCGTCAAGCGCCCTTGAGCGAAGGCGCTCTCGTAATGCCAACGTAGAATTAGATTAGGCCGCAGCACGTTTCGGGACTGCCACGCGGTGGTGCCGCCACGTGCAACCCCCAAATTGTGTCGTTTATTACCGCTTGGCGAAATTCGGAGCGTGACGCCGGCACACAAGGGGGGGGGGGGCACACAAGGGGGGGGGCACACAAGGGGGGGCAGCCCTCGCTGGCTCTGCTCGTTCGACAAGGCCGTGCCGCCCCTCTCCACCCCCACGCCCCCCAACCCCCACCGCCACGTCGCCACCGCACCTGCGCGGCGGTGCGCGTAGCACAGCTGGCATAGGCCAGCGAGCAGGTCCCCGAATGGGTGGCGCGTGAGCAGCAGGCTGCCCAGCGTGCTCTCCTCGCACAGCTCCAGGAGGGCCACGCACGCGGCCGACAGCGGCGGCACGGCGGCCGCTCCGCTCTCTCCGCTCGCCGTCGCCAGGGAGCGGAGGAGCGCCCCGTACGATGACCTCCTCTCCCAGTGGCACGCCCACGCCTGGCGAGACAAAGACAAAGATCCCCCGCGCAGCCTGTAACAGACTGTCGGGCCAAGTGCTGTTAGCGAGCACCGAATGAAGACCGGCACTGTGGCACACGAGGGGGTGGGTGGCCAACACCGCGCCCGGCCGCCTTTGTCTCCCCCAGTGGCAATGTTTTTACACACCGCACCGGGTACTCATTTCAGGCCGAGTCGACCTAGGGGAGGCCCAGGACCGGGTCATGAAATCGTCACCGTTGTTGGCCGTGAGCGGGAATCCAACTCGGGTTACCGGGTTCGGAGCGCAAGCGCCCTAACCGCGACACCACCGCACTCACGCGACGTCCCGACGGTTGTGGGCACGTGTGGCCTTTATCGTCGGGAGGGGTCAGCGGCGTCCGTCACACACGCACGGTTGTCGCCAACCATTCGCAACGGCTGATGAAGAGAATGGCTCGCCGGACGCCGCCTCACTGCCATCTGCGAGTCAACACCAACGACTTCCATTTTGTTTAGCGCATGGCAGGGCTTTCGCGACCACTAATATCAACAAGAGGTTTTTTTTTTTTTGGGTTAGACTGCGTGAATATAAAATGTGTCGTTAAACCCGCCACCACCCGACGCATTCAATTAGTGAGGTTGTCACGTTCACAAAACGTGGCAATTCGTTACTAGTTCAGCACAGCGGCGTGTTGGAAAGTAAACCCACGACAACATTTACAATTCGAGCAGCTGTGACGCTTTGCCGGTGATTACAACTGGCATCATCGGGCGACAGCCAAAGTTGTGGCGAAATCCTCCTCCTGTTTCGATCTTGAATTCTTTCATTGTACAGAGCCAAATCACACGAGCCAACGTCTCGCGAGCGCCGGGCGGCAAGGTAGTGGGGACGCTGAATGGCATCAGAGGGTGGCACAACAGCGCGTGGAGAGAGAGAGAGAGAGCTAGAGAGAGAAGGGGGCATTTGTAGGTCCACTCGAAATGTGTCCGCTGCACGCGACGTCGCGACGTCGACTGTGGGCACGGCTGTGGCGGGCGGAGGAGGGCGCCGCCGAGCGATTAAAAGGCTCCCCCTGGGTAGCTGGTCGCAGAAAGAGAAAGAAGGAAAGAAAGAAAAGAAGAAAAAAGATAAAGAAATAAAGGAAGAAAATAAGTTTAAAAAGAATGAAAAAAATAATAATAAATAAAAATAAAGTTACGTAGAAAGAAAATAAATTAAATAATAGAGTACGACGTTTCGATTGCAACATAAGCAACCGTCATCAGGTAGAACTAAATTTGAGAGAGAGGACAAAACACAGACACAGAGGCACACAGACAGATACACAACATAGGGCACAGATAGAGACACACAACATAGACACAGATAGAGACACACAAACATAGAACACACAGAGACCAAATGCCTCTGTGTCGAGGCCTTAAATAGAGGGGGGAGTTGGGCAGAGAGAGGTGGGGTCTGCTGGCGCAGCTGCTAGGAGAGAAATTAGCATGTCAATGAATCCACGCCGAAGCGACCGAGGGAAAGAAGATCGAATGGCCCTATGAGAGCCTGGTAAATTTTAGAGAGAGAAATCGTTTGAGAAAACAAAATTTAGCAAATCTTTTGGAAATGTAATGTAATGCAAGACAGAGAGTCGGCTAACACACAGTTAACGCATAGCCTAGTTGATTACGATCTCCAAAGATTGCTAAAATTAGAAGTTAAGTGTGAAATTTGACAACAGAGGCACACAGAAAGATGTGTGGAAATCCACCCCGAAGCGGCCGGGGGAGAGAACGAGCGAATGGACCTATGAGAGCCTGGTAAATTTTAGAGAGAGAGAAAATAGGGCCGTTTTTGAAAACAAACAGAGACACACAGAGAGAGAGAGAACACACACACACACACGTACCAATCGCGCGGGCTCGCTGACGCGGAAAACGAACAGGGGCTTCCCCGACTCACCCGCGGCAAGAGGTGCGGGCACACGGTGAGCGTGACGGCGAACTGCAGCGCAGCCTGCACGGTGCGCGTCTGCCCTACGCCGAGCGCGTCGGCGGGCAGCGGCGGCGGAGGGGCGGCCTCGCCCGTCCGGACCCTCGCCGCGGGGGGCGGGGGCGGCCCGCGTCGCGCCTCCGCGGACGCCCGAGCCTCCGCCATGGCGGCCTTGAGCGCGAGCAGCAACAGGAGGCACTCGGAGCCGAACCGGAACGCGGCGTCGCCCTCCCTGGCCCGCCGGCGCCGTCCATCGCCGGGCCCAGTAGTGGCTTGAGGGCGCTGCACGCGTGGCATCGTCGTCGTCGTCGTCATCGTCGTCATCGTCGTCATCATCGTCATCATCGTCGTCGTCATCGTCAGCCATGGCCTATCCACTGCTGGACGAAGGCCACCCCCTCTCGCCCGTCACGGTTGCTCGTGGTCACGTGACGCGACGGTCCGTAACAGCTGCATACAATCTGACCTACTCATTCTAACGTTGGGATGATGGGTAACCACCTCTGGAGGCTGTGGAGGTGACATGAGCATCTACCAATACCATACATGCAACGTATGACCATGTTCGTGTTGAATCATGATCTGTCCCACTGCCAGATGAAAGCCTCCCAAAGCCTTCGTGATCCTGTGATGCAGAAATCCATCCAACAAGTGGGCCGATCTCATTGCTCCAGCTCTGCGGCATGCAGATTATTGGGCACGCTCGCTCCTTCAGCTGCGACTCCTCCGTTAAGTTTGGGCCACCAGCCATCACCCCTTCAAGTAACGTTTCCTGCCTGAGCCCAATTACAAAACGGTAACGACTAGTCAACCGAAGGTTCAGTTCCTAAAACTAGAACTAAACAATATATTTTTTTTATTTTGCCAGGTAAGACCAGCTGAGCTATTAGCTCTTTTTCAGAAGCGACCTGACGACAAATGATAGCTCAACAAAAAAAGAGTGGCATATCACCTGGAAATTTACAGCGGCCAAATACCCGAAGCTCATTGCCGATCTAAATGTGGAGGGAAAAACCAGAGGACATTGACAGAAATCCCACACGACCACGGGGGAACATGCAAACTCCAAATATACAACAGGCGTCGGGGTCGGAATTGAACACACGACCTGCTGCATACCAGGCGAGGGAGTTAACATCTCGCCACCGCGGTGCCCCTCACGAAAACCACCGGCACGTTGCGCCGAATCGTCGGGATGTCATGCCGGAGCAACGCGCGGTGGCGCAAACCAAAAAACCCGTGGCAGCGCAACCGCGAAAAACCTAAAACGCGCGGCAGAACGTCCGTTCGTTTGCTTGTTTTGCTTTTAACGAGTACGGGCGAGAGCCTCCCCTCTCCCGAGCGCGACGCGGGCACCTCGTGTTCGCGCAGACGCCTCCTCGGAGTCGCCGCAGGGCCTGCCCGGCCGCGTCCGGCTGCTGCAGCAGACATCCCAGAGCGTCGAGGTTGCTCCTGAAAGATGCCAGCAGCGCTTCCCCTGGGCTGCAGCGTCCCGCCAGCTTGCTCTGCCGACGATCGCAAACGCGGCGCTTGAGCCGGCGAGCCGTCAACGCCATCGCACGGCGCCGTCGCCAGCGGTCAACATGCTCCACCGCCGTCGCTTTCGGAGTGCTGGCTTGGTGCAATCCGTCTGGCCTCGTGTATTGTCTTGTACAGGGACTCCTCAACGTACGAACATTCGACTTAGGAACTTTCAGAGATACGAACAAACCTGTCCCGTAGGTCCAGCGGCCTGCTCGGACCGAGAGTCGTAAGTTCAACCGCCACGCAATAGATGGCGGTGGTGGCATCTACATTTGCAGAACATGAAGAACCAGTGCATCTACATCTGCAGAAGATGAAGAACCAGTGGCATCTACATCTGCAGAACGTGAAGAACCAGTGGCATCTACATCTACAGAACGTGAAGAACCAGTGGCATCTACATCTGCTGAATGTGAAGAACCAGTGGCATCTACATCTGCAGAACGTGAAGAACCAGTGGCATCTACATCTGCAGAAGATGAAGAACCAGTGGCATCTACATCTGCAGAACGTGAAGAACCAGTGGAATCTACATCTACAGAACGTGAAGAACCAGTGGCATCTACTGAACGTGAAGAACCAGTGGCATCTACATCTACAGAACGTGAAGAACCAGTGGCATCTACATCTACAGAACGTGAAGAACCAGTGGCATCTACAGAACGTGAAGAACCAGTGGCATCTACAGAACGTGAAGAAACAGTGGCCTCTACATCTGCAGAACATAACCAGTGGGATCTACATCTACAGGAGATTTTACAACTTTTAACGCCATTCCCCCCGTGTTTAGTGTACACGCCGTACAACACGTTTGGAATCGGCAGGAGAAAAGTTGGACTTACGAACAAATCGAATTACGAACAGAACCACTGGAACCTGACTCGTTCCTAAGTAGAGGCGTCCCGGTATAGAACTCTTTAATTTTCATAAGCACAGCACTTTGTGATCGTTCAATTAAAGGTGCTACCACAAGAGATGACATTAATAAACTGCTAAACAATTAAGTTCGATGCCCCCTGCGTATATGTCTCCACGTCTGGCAATTCACCAGAATTAGTTGCGTGCAAACCCGACTCTGCTGATGAAACCAATGCACGTCGAAGCCGGTCCAGAGTTTTTCCTCGTTCTGATGATCAATGGTTGATGAAATTCTTTGCTCACAGAGGGTCAAGAATACGAGTATTTACTCCGCAGATATTGTTTGCTAATCAATTTGTATCAGATAGGGGGGCATCAATGCAGCCTACTAAAGACGGGTCGCTGCATCGCTCGGCGATTTCAGATGCTGCTGCTTCTGCGTCCGTCTGGAACGCTCTCCCTTCCTATATTATGCACTTATAAATCATCATGTAGGTTGAAACTCATTTCTTTAGAACTGCTTTTTGTGTTAAGTTTGTTGTCCTTCCCCCCGCACCTGCGATTAGCGCGGTTGGCTACGTCCGGTGCGAAAGAAGTTCAACATACATACACAGAATCACATAGAGACCTAGACTCACACAGAGACACATAGACTCACATAGAGACCCATAGACTCACACAGAGACACAGACTCACACAGAGACCCATAGACTCACACAGACCCATAGACTCACACAGAGACCCAGACTCACATACATACACAGAATCACATAGAGGCCTAGACTCACACAGAGACACATAGACTCACACAGAGACACATAGACTCACACAGAGACACAAAGACTCACACAGAGACCCATAGACTCACACAGAGACACAGACTCACACATAGACACAGACTCACATAGAGACCCAGACTCACATAGAGACCCAGACTGACACAGAGACAAACAGACTCACACAGAGACCCAGAGACTCACACAGAGACCCATAGACTCACACAGAGACAAACAGACTCACACAGAGACCCATAGACTCACACAGAGACCCATAGACTATCACAGAGACCATAGACTAACACAGAGACCCATAGACTCACACAGAGACACACAGACTCGCACAGAGACCCAGACTCACACAGAGACACATAGACTCACACAGAGACCCATAGACTCATACAGAGACCCAGAGACTCACACAGAGACCCATAGACTCACACAGAGACAAACAGACTCACACAGAGACCCATAAACTCACACAGAGACCCATAGACTATCACAGAGACCATAGACTAACACAGAGACCCATAGACTCACACAGAGACACACAGACTCGCATAGAGACCCAGACTCACATACATACACAGACTCACATAGGGACCCAGACTCACACAGAGACCATAGACTCACACAGAGACCCATAGACTCACATAGAGACACACAGACTCACATAGAGACCCAGACTCACACAGAGACCCATAGACTCACACAGAGACCCATAGACTCACACAGAGACACATAGACTCACAAAGAGACCCATAGACTCACAGAGACACACAGACACACATAGAGACCCAGACTCACATACATACACAGACTCACATAGGGACCCAGACTCACACAGAGACCATAGACTCACACAGAGACCCATAGACTCACATAGACTCACACAGAGACCCATAGACTAACACAGAGACCCAAAGACTCACACAGAGACCCATAGACACACACAGACCCATAGACTCACACAGAGACCCACAGACTCACACAGAGACCCACAGACTCACACAGAGACCCATAGACTCACACAGAGACCCATAGACTCACACAGAGACCCATAGACTCACACAAACTCACACAGAGACCCATAGACTCACACAGAGACACACAGACTCACACAGAGACCCATAGACTCACACAGAGACCCATAGACTCACACAGAGACACATAGACTCACACAGAGACCCATAGACTCACACAGAGACCTATAGACTCACACAGAGACCCATAGACTCACACAGAGACCCATAGACTCACACAGCAGAGACCCATAGACTCACACAGAGACCCATAGACTCACACAGAGACACATAGACTCACACAGAGACCATAGACTCACACAGAGACCTATAGACTCACACAGAGACCTATAGACTCACACAGAGACCCATAGACTCACACAGAGACACATAGTTTGTTGTCCTTCCCCCGCGCACCTCCGATGAGGGCGGTTGGCTACGTCCGGTGCTAAAGAAGTGCAACGTCTGAACAGTACAATACTTGCAAATCACGTCGTCACAGCACTGTGTATAGTTATGCAACGAGGCAATGACTTCAAAGGCCGAATCAAAATACTCAACACGTTAGTCAAAAACTCCCGTGTGTTTTGGTGGCCTTAAAAGGAAAACATCTTTCATTGGCGACGTTTCGGGTAATAACCCCCCCCCCCCATTTCTTCATAGCAACATACACGTGCTGTATCATTTCCCTATACAGACCACATTGTTGTTGACGAGTGTGCTCAACGTATTTATCTGTGCATCACCACCATCGCCAGAGTAATTAAACGCGTAAAGAGCCTTCGCACCTTTAAAGAATCTTAATTTTTATTAACAAAAATGCGCCGTTATTAATTAAAACGCCGACACGGGGGATCGAACCCGTGGGCGCGAACTCGGCAGCAGCAGCAGCGGGCAGGCGGAGGGCGGCTGGGAGGTCACCCGCGGCCTCACGCGACACCGCTGAGGTCAGACTCTTTGGGGTCATTCGGTTAAGTCACCCAGATAAGTTGAAAGAAAATAACAAACAAAAAAACAACAAAAACTACGTTTCGATCACAACACATCGTCATCATCCTCCTGATGACGATCGCTTGCGTTGTTATCGAAACGTCGTAGTGTTTAATTTATTTTTTATTCTATTTCAACCTATCTACGTGACTTTACCGAAAGGCCCAAATAATTTGAATTCCTGCAGTCACGAAAGCTTTAAGGCAACATTTAACCGCTAGGCCACTGAAGAAACCGGGCCACCTCGCTCGCCTCACCAAACCAACTCTATGATAAACAACACTGCACTCACCGGCGGGCTTGATTAACGCGTTCAAAGCGTTTGTAACAATAGCCAGAGCCATTATATGTCTGCTGCTGTTGTTGTTGTGGTGTTATTGTTGTCAAATGTATATTTGATTCATCTGATCCTGCTTCAAGTCCGATGGTCGATCGGTTTTCCCGACCAACGTGGTGAGTCGGAGTGGCTTCGTGACGTCATGCACCGCCGGTCTCTCGTGACGTCATTGTTGCGCAGACGACGCATCGCGTACGGAATGACGTCGGCCCCCGCGGCACTGAGTTGCGCCGGGGCGGAAGTTTCGCTGCGATGATGTCACGTCATCCAGCCGACTTGCGTGATTACGTCACGTCACCAGCAAGCATCGTGATGGGAAACTCTCGCGGTCGGTGACGTCATGGCGCCAGCGACCCTCGTTGTGAGAACTCGGGTGATGACGTGGTATCCCCAACCAGCCGAGTGACGCGAACTCCGGGGAAAACGTCACATCAACTATCCAGCCAAACTTGTGGAAACTCGTGTGATGACGTCACCTTACCATCAAGTGTCTGGATCGGAACTCGCGCGATCGACGACATCATGTCACCCGCTCAGTCCCTCGGTGGGACCTCGGGTGGTGACGTAATGTCCCCGATCCAGCCCAGTGGCGCGAAACTCGGGCGACGACCTGACGTCGACACCCAAGTGGAGTGGCGCGAACCCCAGGCGATGACGTCGTGTTACCGCCATTTCGAACGGGGAGTTCGGTCGATGACGCCATGCAGCTCAGGAGTTGCAAGTTCAAGAGGTCACCACTTTGGCCACCGCTTCCTTCCTCCTGCCCAGATCATGCGTGAGGTAAAAATAAACATAATACAGAGGAGGTTTTGTTGTTGGGGGTAAATCGCGTAAATATATAAATGTTGTGTCGTTAAACCTGCCACCACCCGACACAGCCACTACTCCCTTCCTCCTGCCCAGATCCTGCGTGAGGTAGAAATAAACAATACAGAGGAGGGTTTTTTGCTGTTGTTGGGGGTAAATCGCGTAAATATATAAATGTTGTATCGTTAAACCCGCCACCACCCGACACAGCCAACTAGTAAGGGTTGTCACGTAAACAGAACGTGGCCAATTCGTCACTGGTACAGCACTAGTGTATAGTAGTGTATAGTGTAGTGTATAGTGTAGTATACTAGTACAGCACTAGTGTATAGTGTATAATAGTGTAGTGTATAGTAGTGTATAGTGTAGTGTATAGTAGTGTATAGTGTAGTGTATAGTCGTGTATAGTGTAGTATAAAGTAGTGTATAGTGTAGTGTATCGTAGTTTAAAATGTAGTGTATAGTAGTAATTCTAGATTTAAAGCTTTCGTGACTGCAAGGATCCATACTCTTTGGTTCTATTCGGTAAAGTCACGTAGGTAAAAAAAATAAACAACAAAAATCACGACGTTTCGCGGCCACAACACAAGCGGCCTTCATCAGGTGAAGGAACCAGTCTGTCTCGAGGACAGCGCTGGAGTGAAAACACAGCCAAGCTCAGACCGCGACCTTTAAGCTGTGTGCGAGGAAACAAGGTGCCTTGAAAAGGAATTAGCATAAAAATTAGCATTTGATTGGCCGACTTAGCATGATGAACGGTGTAGAGGTGGTGTACATGCGGGTGAACATGCCGGTTGGCGCGGGGGGGGAGGGGGAGTTTACCTATTGATGGTGTGAAAAGGGGATTTTTAAGAGCTGCAAAAGTTTTGGGTACCACTACTTGAAAAATATACTGTACCATTTAAAATTAGTTTAATGTTTGGTTCGATTTAGAACATCTTTCCAATGGTTGCTTAATTTGAAACCATCTTCTCGGTGAAATTGTGTCTGTGTTTTGTAAATCTGAATTGCCTCGTGAATAAATCTCTGATAAAAACCCGTGGGTTTGCAAAGAACCTTGGTATCGGAGAAAATTATATCGTGATCACCCACAGCGTTGTAACAGTGTCAGCTACGGCAGAAGAATTCATTCTGCCGTGTTTCAAATCTGATTTGTGCTCGCGAATTCGATCAGAGACATGTCGCTTTGTCTCCCCGATATAGCAATCACCGCAGGTACAACTCAATTTGTAAATCCCGGGGTACTGTAAGTCAGGAATGACATCCTTCACGGATGGGATCAGATCACGAATTTTGTGTACTGTATTGAACCGGACCTGGATCTTGTGTTTGTTTAGAATTTTGAAAATCTTTTTAGTAACGCCTGCTATATATGGTAGTGTGATGGTTTGGACCGGAGTATCAAGTGGTTGTTTCTGTATGGAGGGAGAAACAGCTTGGCGGATGGTACGGTCAGAGTATCCATTCCTTTTGAGGGCCAGGTGTACATGTTTTAATTCACTGGTCAGGTGGTGTTGGTCTGAAATGCAATGAGCCCTATGGTATAAAGTTTTGATGAGAGAATTATTTTGGGCTGGGTGGTGGTGGGAATCAGGTTTCAAGTAGGAATCTGTGTGGGTGGGTTTCCTGTAGACAGAATGCCCCAATGAGCCATCATTTTTTGCCTACGTGACTTTACCGAATAGAACCAAAGAGTATGTATAGTCGTATATAGTGTAGTGTATAGTAGTGTATAGTGTAGTAGTAGTGTATAGTGTGTAGTAGTGTATAGTGTAGTGTAAAGTAGTGTATAGTGTAGTATACTAGTACAGCACTAACCGGTTGTGTTAATGGAGAGCCAAGCCACAACATTTACAATCTTAAGTACGACGTTTCGCCAGTAATTACAACTAGCTGCGTCAGACGACAGCCACATTTGTGGCTGCGCAGTGGTTAACAACCTAACGAGCACGAAGGGCCTAGGTTCGGTTCCCGACTCGGGATCCTCTCCCTGTGGACGTGAGGCCGACCGAAATCCAGTTTCGGTTTCGGCGCCGAAAGTTGGAAAAACGGCCTCTTTCGGTCTGGTTTCGGGTTTCGGCCGAAACTGATATTGACTTTCGGTCGTCAACTGAAGATCTATTTTTAGAATATAACGCCTAGTGCTACGTCTATCACTCTGCCTATCGGCCGGTCAGTCGGCGCTAGGCAATCCTATGCGATAGGCTGCAAACACACACACACGTACACACACGTACACACACACACACGTACACACAAACACACGTACACACACACATACACGTACACACACACACGTACACACGTACACACACATGTACACACACGTACACACAAACACACAACAACAACAACAACAACCGCCATTCGCCACTAAGTGGCGGTGACGTCACCACGACGCTTGTGCCAGGACATGTGCACCTTGAGGCCACGTGGAGTTTCGAACGCCCGCTGGCAGGAGGCCACGGGGCAGACCCAGGTGCCACGGGTCGACTGACTGAGATGACTGGCTGATGCACCACCTGTGCCCCCTACTGTGCCAACCTGCTGTGCTTTAGCCACCCTGCGCTCCGCTCGTTGTTGTGAGCGTCGCTCCTCCGCCCTCCGTTGTTGTTGGAGTGCGACTACCGCCAACTGCCCAGTAGCGTCCTTCACGAGCCTCCTCCACAGAGGCCGATCTTGACACCACTGGTACCAGTGATCAGCAAGTCCACTCAGCTCCACGTCCTCCTGTACCACATCACTCCATCTCTTCTCTAGCCCATGCCGCGCCCGTTTAGCCCCCTCGATCCGGCCGAACAAAAGCTGTTTCGGCATGCAGTGGCTGGGCATGCGGGCTACATGACCCAGCCATCGCAGCCTTGCCCGCTGGAGGAGCTCACCGATGGGACCTTGCCCAGATCTTTCAAGGATTTGTGAGCTCCTCACACAATCCAGCCTGGTTAAACCCAGGATGGATCGTAGGCAGGCCAGCCTAAATGTTTCTAACCGGCGAAGATGGTCCATTAGGGGGGTCCACGTTTCGCAAGCGTAGAGAAGGGAGGGAATGACCATGGCCGAGAAGACCTGAAGCTTAGTGCGGAGCGACAGACCAGGTAGCTTCCACACAGCCTTACGCAACCGATGAAAAGATATTGCCGCTCGACTGATTCGGAGTGAGACCGCTGTTAAACTGGAGCCGGTCATAAGCACACTTCCCAGGTATGGGAAACTCTCCACTCTCTCCACAACTGCCCCATCACCGATTGGGAGTTGTGGGGGTGGAGTGTCCGATGGTATAAAATACCCAGGCAGGTGCTTAGTTTTGGTGGGGCTGATGGTAAGGCCCCATCTCTTAGTGGCACGCTCCAGTCTCAGCAGCAGCGTCTCCAACTCCTCCTCTGAATGAGCAGCTATTACCAAATCATCAGCATACATCACGTGGTTGAGCAATAGGGAGCCATCCCTTGACCGCACCCGGGCATCGATCAGCCTCCCATTATATCTGTACCATATGGAGATTCCCCCGGTACAGCTATTGAAGGCTTCATGAACTACGTGGTCGAAATAGATGTTAAATAATGTGGGAGCCAGAGGACATCCCTGTCGCACCCCAAGGTGTACAGGGAAAGGCTCGGACTCCCGACCATGTAGTTTTACCCGGGCCCGCTCACCATCATGAAGGTCCTTAATGATCGTGAGCAGAGGGTCAGCTACTCCAAAAGCACGAAGAACAACCCAGAGCCCAGGCCTATTGATGGTATCATAGGCCTTGACCAGGTCAATAAAGCAGAGATTTAGGTCTTGCTGGAATTCCCTACACCTCTGCTGTAGCAGACGGACAGAAAATATGGCATCTGTGCAGGACCGCCCTTTCCTGAAACCGCATTGGGGCTCCGCAAGCCTCTTCTCAGCGTGCCTGGCAAGGCGATGTTGAATAATCCTTGCCAGGACCTTTCCCAGCACAATTAGGAGTGAGATGCCCCTGTAGTTGTTACAGTCTGTGCGGTCCCCCTTCATAAAGAGGGGGACCACCAGGGCATCCTTCCAATCCTGCGGAACCCGTCCAGTGGTCCAGACTGTTGTTATGATGTCATATAGGGCAGTCTGTGCACAAACTCCACCCTCCCTCAGCATTTCGCTTGGGAGATCATCTCTGCCCGCTGCCTTTCCTGGTCTCAGACTCCGGATCGCCCTCAGTACTTCCTCAACAGATGGCACTTCAGCCAGTCACTCACAGGGGGTGACTTCTTCCAATATTTGAGGCACCGCAGCCTCAGCAGGGTCATCCTTACTTTGTGCCACGATGTTTTCCTGGCTGAGGAATTTTCCCTCCCCCAGGACCTCACAGAAATGCTCAGCAAATCTGCAAACCTGTTCCTGGGGGTCGGAGATTGGATCACTGTTTTTTCCCCTAATGATGGTAATAGGTGTGGCGCTGCAGGTTACTTTTTTGATGGAGTTAAATAGAGATTTGTGATCGTGGGCCACTGAGGCAGACTCCATCTCCTCAGCAACCCGCGACCACCACCCATCCTTGCAGTGCCTCACGGCTCTCCGAACCTCCGAGCGAAGGTTGCGGTAAGCCTCCTCATTCTCTGACATGGGATTTTGTAGCCGATGACAGTGGGCCTGTCGCTTTTTCTCAACCATCCTGAACACCTCCTCTGTCAGCCTGGGTCTCTGGGGAGGTCCTGACCGCGTACCCAAAGCAGACATTGCAGCCACATGAGTCACAGTTCTAAACCTCGCCCATTTACCCTCGACATCAGGAGGAGTGGGGGACGATGCCAACCCCAGCCGCAGGCGATGATGAAATTCTCGCTTGCAACTTTCATCAGATAACCGAGACCAGGCCACTTTTGGTTGGAATGGGGTCCTGGGTGTACACCCACCACCGGAGCGGAAGAATGGGCGGCGCATCTTACAGATGACAAGTCGATGGTCAGAGGGCAGATCAGCTCCACGGTAGGTCCTGGTGTCAAGGACATGGG